AAACGTTTTTAGTTAACTTTGTTATTTTCAAAGTCACATCAATTTTTTCCCTATTCTTGAGTAGGTCTTGTATAACAATACTGCAGCTGGAACAGTCCATTTACAAACGGCACCATTTCTACATATACACTGTAATGTATGTCTTAACGGTCGTATACAGAAACCTGTACAAAAATTTAAAAACCACTTAATACCATTCAAAATCATTAGGACTATTAATATTGACTGGAGACAAACCAAGTGAACAAACCAGTGTTCAAGTGGAAATTGTTATACCTTTCACACTTCAAAGTCATAAAATTGTTAAAACCTGAATTCTTTCTAATAGGTTCATTGCTGTCTACTTTGCCTATATCATGATATATGAATAGCAGCCTCTTTCAAATTTTTTTGATATTTAAGTTGCATTTGAACAGTATCAATGGGTTGCCTGACAATGGGCTTTCAACAAATATTGTTGTAGCAAGGAGTAACAAATAGGAAATTAATGAATTTTTCCTTAAGTTTCATCATACTGGACAACAGGTTTATTCTACCTTTTACATACTAGTATCTGTGGTCTGATTAATGGCTCTTCCCTATTCTAAGTATCATCTTTAACAAATGATCTGGCTACTGGTACAGGAAAGGATGACTGGAATAAATAGGTACATAATCAAGTAGTCTTTCTACACTGATTACATATGGATATATAATCACATTGTGGACAATTAACAGACATTTCCATTTCAACATTCACATCCTTACATAAAAGTGTCATGCAGAGCTCGGCGTAACATGTGTCCATCTTCAGTCAATGCCCCTAATACCAACCCATCAGCTCCATAAAGCTTGGCAAGACGGATGTCTGCTTTCATGACCTCTACTTCACGGTCTGAATACAAAAAATCCCCTCCACGTGGTCGGATCATCACAAAGACAGGAATCTGGACACACTGCTTAATCACTTGGAGAGTACCTACAAAAATGCACAGTGAAAAGATAAAAAACCAAGCAGCGGCAATAAACTCTTAGAGATGAACATAAAAATATCTCTGGCCTCTTCAATCTGTTCCTTAATGTCACCAGCAGCAAAAAAGGAAAAGCAAACTAGTGAGGCCAAAAGAAATGTAAATAGAGTGCAGGAGTGGAGAAAAGGTGGAAAACTGCACAAGAGCCATGGCTAAGTAACAGACAACTGTAACATGAGAAACCAGCAAAGAATGACACTGAAATCTTTAAAGTACTTGTCACTCAAGGCTCCATAAAACTTCTTGTAGAATCTTGTATAACATATTCTGTTCTAACAACTACTAATCTTCACGTTCTGCCAGCAGAATCACTGAGATTCGAGTTTTTCCTCCTGAGACTTCTTCTGAAGCACTATTTAAAACCAACTCTAATGGTCCAAGTTCTGTGTTCCCGAACCATACAAATGCAAATTGTTTAACCCCTTCTCTGAATGAAAGAAATCTTCACAAAAGTTTTTTTTTGGTGATCTTGCAAAGATATAGGAATGAAGACACATAAAGAAGATATAGTGTATAGCTAGCTAGGACTATAGATTTAGAGTTGCAAAGGACCTCAGAGAATTATTCTATCCCAACCCTCTCACTTTACACTTTAGGAAATCAAGGTTATTTGAGCATAGGCAGAAGGTCCTAAGGCCACACAGGTGATGTCATAGACTTTGGTTTTCTGGACTGGACCTGTGATTTCACTGGAGAAGGGAAGGACCAGTAAAGAGTTCTTCCAAAGCAGTTCAGCACTTTCCTTTACAACAAATAGTCTTAAAGTTTCCTGGGGCACTGGCAAGTTAAGTGACTTGCCAAGTGCCAGAGACGGGATATGACCCTAAATCTTATTGACTCCAAGGTTGGTCCTTTGTATGCTGACCCTTACTCAAACACATTTTCTACAACAATGGGCTGCTTTCCTTACATGGTCAGGAGTTTTCAACCTACATCATACTTAACTCAATTATGTCATAGTAATTGATGGCCAAAGGAAGGCAACAAAACCCAGAAACATTTGTTAAGCATCCGCTAGCTGTTTGATGCAATGGGCTAGCCCAAGGGTTAATAAAAAGTTACTTAGAAGAACTGGCACTCACCCATGCTAGGTGTAGTTCCTCCCTCCAGCAAACCAGAACACAATTCAATACGGCTGGCACCTGTGATAAAAGAGCTTCAAAGTCATCAGAAATCCCAGACAAAGTCTGTCTCTCTTTGTTCCAAATATTCAGCGTAACAAGAAACTATCTTCTGGCCCATCTACATTTTGCAGCCAGAGTAGATTCAATCACAGTAAGATCTAAAAGTTAATATCCCACTCAAGGTCTCTACAGGACACCAAAGACTATGAGGAAGGGCACTGGAATAGAGGATAAGTTTCTAGACTGACCCCAGGGCTACATTAAATCTTTCTTACATATGAGTAAGTACAGGATTTGGTTCTGAGTAATTCCAAGTTACACTAGGTCTAGGACATGGGCAAATTACTAGTTAGAACCTATCCAGAGCTCAAAATCAGAAAACTTAAAGGACTAGGTTACAGAAAATGCAAACTGGTGAAATAAAATTAGAATAGTGGCAAAGAACTAAAAGCCTATTACCGAAATGTCGGAAATCTTCCTTTAAACTAGGCAATTCTAAAGTACAAAAATGACCTTGGGGTAGGAGATACAATGTGTTAGTTGCTATGACAGCAACAAATCTCTGAAATTATCTCTTAGTTAGTTTAGTTTGACCAATGTTCCACCTCAGTAAAATGAAAGAGATGAGAATATCTTCTTCTGGGCTCTCAATTTCATGCTGTGGGGATGAACTGGAGGATCTCCTAACATTCCCCTTATCATGCTGCTTTTGTTTTCAGTTTTGTTGTTGCTTTGTCATTTGTCAGTTGTGTTCAACTCTTGGTGACCTCGACTGGTGTTTTCTCAACAAAGATACCAGAGTGGTTTGACTTTTCTTTCTCCAGCTCATTTTACAGATGAGGAAACTGAGGCAAACAGGGTTAAGTGACTTGCCCAGGGCATACATCTGGTAAGTGTCTGAGGCAGATTTGAATCTAGGAAGAAGAGTCTTCCTGATTCCAGGCCCAGTGCTTTGTGCACTATGGCACCACCTAGCGGCCCCAGTTTCAGTTACTTTTCCCAAAAATAAAAGTTTTAGAGAAGGACCTCAGATTATCTCACTGCTCATTTTTCAAAGATGAAACTGAGGTTCAGAGAGGCAGTAAGGATTAGATCCAGGATCTCCAGTAGTTGTGATTACAAGGGATTCCCCAGGGTCTGTTTGCAAGCATGTGAGAAAGGTTCAGAACACTTCATCCCCCCTTCCCTGTACCTCTTTTACCTCCTCTTTCTGCATTTATAGCCGACTCCACTGAATCCACACATACCTCCATAAGAATCCATTTGTCATTTCTAAAAGTTGCAAGGTACAAAAACAAACCTGTCAGTGTGCTAGACCATCCTGCAACTGCATATTCTATATTCAACATCACGGTAGCCTAGAATAGCAACCTCTGAATTCACTAACAATGACAACCCCCCCCCCAATCTTGTGTGATTTCTCTGGTTAAGCAGAGACCAAACTAGGTGCAGAGTAACTGATGCTTTAAGAAAATGAAAAATTAAAATAGTCCCCAAAGACTACACAATGTTTTTAATTTATCTGGAGACAGCACTTTCCCAGCTGGGCCTGGACTTAGTTAAAGTCAAATAGCATTTATTAAGCACCTAATATATGCCAGGCATGTGTTAAGCATAGGCCAAAAAAAAGGGCAAAACATTCAGTCCCTGTTCTCAAGGAGTTAGTTCTTAGTCTAACAAGGGAGACAACATGCAAACAATTATGTACAAACAAGACACTGGCACGATAAATAATCCCAGGGTTGATAGAACAGATTTAATGTCACTTGTCTCGGGTACCCCCAAATTACTAGTTACCTGCTCTACTTGATAGGATCACAGGAATATAGATATAGCACTGGTACTTAGCACAGTGCCTGGTACATAATAAGTGCTTAATAAATGTTTATGGATTGATTACTGATAGGAGGCTGTCTAGTCCAACCCTCCTCATTTTAGAGATAAGTAAACTAGGGGGACGGGAGAGATTAAGTGACCCGTCCCACGCCACACGCTGAGTATGCCGGGAGCGGGGTGAATATATACATACATACTATATATGTACTCTCTCCCTTCTCACTTTGCGTTACTAAACAATAATGACGGCATCGACAAGTGCTGGTTCAAAGCGCTTCACAAATACTACCTTATTTTATGCTCCGGAGGTGCTACTATCTATCCCACTTGGCAGATAAGGAAACTGAGGCCAAGGGGACGTGACTTGTCCCGGGTCACCCAAGGATCAGACACGGCTGGTCCGTATCGGAGGTCGCCTGCGACCTCGGGTGCTCCTGCCTCCACCATCCCGCCACTGGCTGACACACGCCCCTTGAGGGCAGGCACCACTGATTTTCCCTTGTGTATCCCCAGGGCCTGGCAGAGCATTTTATAAACGCTTTGACTCCAGCCTAGGCCCAAGCCCAAGCTCACTCTCACTGCATTTTACAGATGGGGAAACCGACGCCCTGTGAGGCTGGGCCTCGCCCGAAGGCACACCAGGCAGGGCCCACATTCAAACCCGGGGCTCTTCCCGCGGCACCACGCCGCCACTAACGCCAAACGACATCCCTCCGGTGGCGCTCACCTGGCTGGACCGGGGCTATATGGACTCGCTTCTGCTCCTTGCAGATTCCCCGCCTTTTCATCCTCACAGCTTCAGCCCGGGGGTGGACGCGATTCGGCTGCTGGTTTGCAATAGGCGCGCGACCCTAACGATCCCTCGCCTTCCTCACCACTCCGGGGGGTGGGGGTGGGGGTGGGTCCTCAGTGGCGTCGCGGACGCAGGCGCAGACGCAGTAGTCAAATTTCCGGCAACGTGCTCCCTGCGTCCATGATCACGTGACGAGGTAGGCCCCACCCCCTGCGACGGGCTCTGCGCGGCCCCGGAAGTACTTTTCTTCATGGGGAGGAAACCGGCGTGGGGCGACTAAGGAAGTGTGTAGTGCGGTGGTGATTTTGAGGGACTTGCAGCCGGTCCAGCTGCAGTCACGTCGCGATGCTGCAGTTACTCTCTCCTTCTCTAAAAGCGGTGTTGGGGAGTCCAGGGGTCCGGCTCCTGGCTTCTAGGGGGGCTCCCCGGGTACGGGCGCCCCTACAGGGCTCTCCGAGGATCAGAGCTAGCTTAGGAAGAAGTGAAGGGTCTCGGGTCAGTCAGGGCGGAGAGGGGGATGAGGGCCAGCGGTGGAATGGGCCCGGGAGCCCGAGGTCGTATTGGAGGGGCATCCCTGGAATGTCCTTTTATTCATTGCCTGTTTTGTTATTGTCCTCATTCCGCCCCTCCCCCCATTACTTTGTATCTGTCTGTGTACATGTTGCCTGTCCCCCAATAGAAAGTAAGTTCTTGAGGATCAAATGGGATAATGTATGTAAAGCGTTATGCGAACCCCAGAGCGCTATGCGAATGCTAGATACCGTTGTTACTCTGTAGAGCTGGTTTTGAAGTCTGGAAGACCAGGGAGCAAATCACCACCTGTGTCCGAGTCAGTTTCCTCAAATGTAAAATGGGAACAATAATAGCACTTAGCTCACCGGGTGGTTGTTATTTCTTCTTTGAAGTTGTTGTGTCCCAGGTCCTGACACATATTAAGCTCTTAATAAATGCATTCTTGAATGAATGAATACAGGGCATTGTGCTTGGTTCTAGGGAAGACACAAAGATAAATGAAGAGAATTTTGAGTTAAAAGATTGAATTAGGAGGCCTGGGCTCTAGTCCCAACTCAGCTACTTACCAAGCACAGCACTTGGAGCTTAATATTGACTAAATGGATGAATGAATGAATGTATACCCTTTGGAAGTCATAAGCTTTCTGAGCCTCAGTTTCCTCATCTGAAAAATGAGAGGAATGGACTGAATGATCTTTAAGATTTCTTCTAGTGATATATCTTGTAATCGTAATGGCATGTGATTGAGTCCCAGCTCGGACTTCATAGGATCATAGAGTTCAAGATTTAGAAGGGGGCTCAGTTCCAGTCCACTTATTTTATGGTGTAGAGGAACTGAGTTTTAGACAAGTCCAGTGACTTTCCCGGTTCTACATAACTAACAAGTATCTGATGTAGGACTTGAATCTGGATCTTCCTGATTCCAAATTCAGCTCATATTACCCCTGAGTTGTGAAGAAAGCCCTTTGAAAACAATACTGCTATAATTTGTGAGTTTGATAAAATATGTACCCCCTGTCCTCAAGGAATTTGTAGCTAATAAGAATTAGACATGGCAATATGGTAGAAAAGCATAGTGCATACTAAGGGTAAAGGTTTAGCATATTAGAAGGTCTTACCTTCATACTAAAACCATGATATTTCTTCCCTTGGTCCTTAGTGTGGTTGCCATTATGGGCAAAAGCTCCCTCTCCTGCAAAGACAGCACAGTACTCTGTCTGAAGTAGCTTTGCAGTCTGGAAGCGGGGCAGTGTCTGCCCCGACAAAGGCTGCCAATCGGATTATGGGCCGTTGGCTCTTGGGCTGCAGTGCAACAGTAGCAGGAGCAGTTATTCTTGGTGGAGTGACTAGGTGAGCAATCTTGAAATGAATTGGGAGCCTCATCATCTGCCATCCAGTAAAAGAAGGCACCTGTAATTCTGATGGGGGGGGGGCAGCTAGGTGATTCAGTGGATAGAGTGCTGGGCCTGAAGTCAGGAAGACCTGAGTCCAAATCCAGCCTCAGATATTTACTAACACCTTGTGACCACAGCTAGCAGCAAGTCATTTAACCCTGCTTGCCTCAGTTTCCTTATCTGTAAAATGAGTTAGGGAAGGAAATGGCAACCCACTTCAGTATCCTTGCCAAGAAAACTCCAAATGGGATCACAAAGAGTTGGACACAACTAAAATGACTGAACAACAAATAATTCTGATGTTTTACAAAAGCACAATAATGCAGAGTGAAAAGGGCACAAAATTCAGAAACAGGATATGGGATACTGCCACTAATCTGGGCAAATTATATCAACTCCTTGGGCCTCAGTTTCCTCATCAGTCAAATGAAGGAGTTGGACTATATGATCTCAGGCTCTTTTCAGATCTGAAATTCTAAGCCTTTAAAAATACAGAATGATAGATCTCATAGGAAAACTTGGTATTGCTAGTCAAAGACTGGCAGGAAGAGAAAGGGAAAGATGAGAGAAAAAGTGGGAAAATGTGTGCCTGATTTAAGGAAAATTATGAAAAAAAATTATCAGTGAGAGGAGGGAAAGCAGAATGTTATCCTTGGCAAGGTTAAATTCAGATATTTATTCCTTTAGTCTATAAGTAATGGAGTGAGTAGATTTCTTTTAAGATCTTAATAGTATCCATTTCTCTTTTCATCTTAAGATTGACAGAGTCTGGGCTGTCCATGGTAGATTGGCACTTGATAAAGGAGATGAAACCACCCACAAGCCAAGAAGAATGGGAGGCAGAGTTCCAAAAATATCAGCAGTTTCCAGAATTTAAAATGTAAGCACCATAATTTGAAAATAGTAACAAGCACCAAATGTTTGTTGGGTGGAATTGAATTGAGTTTATTGAGTGGAAGTATGTGGGAAAACAAAAAATGAATCCCACAGGAGCATCCTAATCTGCCTTATTTTTTTATTTATTTGTTTGTTTGTTTGTTTGTTTTTGCTATTTCATTACCTATAATCAAATATTTCAAAATATGTGATTCTCTTTGTTATTGTCTGGTTCTGATAGGCTTTGTGTGTTCTCTTGGACTATACCTGAAACTCCAGGTTGGTATTTTGGTCACTGAATAGGATATTCATTTGAGGAATGCCAGAGTAACACTGAAGATACTGAATTTTCCTAAATGTATGTAAAATGCTGTTTGTGTTGAATGTATCAGCAAATGAGAGACTAGGTCAGCAATTTTACTTGGCTTCCTGGATTCTGGAAGTTAAACTTCTTAGTGCAGCTTGATTTTGTGTAAACACACACACACCCCCCCACACACAGCCGGAAGTAAAAATCTCCCATTGACAAATAAGATACACTGTAATGTTTGCTCTCTTTAGCAAGGAACAACTCCTGGCTTCAGGAAAAAAAAAAAGATATTTCCTATTTTGTGAGGCTGTGCAATTGTACCTTTGTTTTATCATGTTAAACATAACTAAGAAAATATTTTCTTATTCTCTTTTAATGATTTCGCTCTCACCTAGCTTGAACCATAACATGACCTTGCCAGAATTAAGTTTATTTGGTACATGGAGTATTCACACCGAATGTGGGGACGGATTGTGGGCCTAGCATATATCCTTCCCACTGTCTACTTTTGGAGAAAGGGCTGGCTCAACCATGGCATGAAAGGTCGTGTTCTTACCCTCTGTGGCTTGGTCTGTTTTCAGGTGAGTTATACAAGATTCAAAGATTCTTAGAAACATCCACTTGAACTTACAAATCAACCTGTTTTTTGACTAAATAATGTTTTGTTTCATTGTTTCTAGGTCCCTTCAGAATTAGAAAGCCTTTCCTAAGTATCATAACTATTTCTTTGTGCCATTAGATTTCCTCTAATAACTGGGGCTTGGATTGGATAATCCTCAGGTCCCTTCCAATTGTGGATGTATAATCCTTATAACCCTAGAATATTTTGAAGTTGTGTCAGGATGGCGTTGGTTAAGAGTGGAGAGCCTGGAAAAGGGGTTTTACCTTAAGGTGGTAACAAGACATCCAAGTAAAGTAGAGAGTTAGCTGAGCAATGGAAAGTCGGAGTAGTCAGTCCTTCCATCAGTAAACATCTACTGTATGCCAGTCACAGTGCCGAGCACTGGGAATAGAAAAAGAAAAAACAGGCCCTGTCCTCAAGGAGCTTGCAATCTCCTGATGGGAGACTACACAAAAGGAAGCTGGGGAGCAGGGGGAAGAGGAGGGGGATGGAACATGATGACAAAGGCCAGAAGAGTGAAGCTAAGTGGGAAATTAATTGATTGCTGGCCTGGGTGCCCTCCTTAAATGGAGGTTCTGAGAGGAACTCTCCAGTCAAGGGGAGGGTCCCCAGGGCCAGGGGGAATGATAACGTTTAAGTTTCAGGACTGAATTGATCTTGCAGAATGATGAGAAGAATGAGAGTAGTTAGTGAAGGCCAAGTCCTGAGGAGTGCAGACAAGTGAGAAATGAAGACAAATAGTGATTGAAATTGTATATGTTAAGTTCCTGAATGAAAAGAGCTATAGAAGACTCCCCACAGTTAATGGGTAGGGGAATATAAAGCTTGAAAGATGAGAGGCAGAAGTATAGTGTCCCTGGAGCTGCAGAAACATAAGTCCAGAGCAATGGAGAAGTCTAAAAGGAGGTAAGGGCATCAGGATTAGCCTGCTGAGAGACAGAAGATGGAAGAGGAGTTGGAGAAGGCAGAGGGGAAAATGACTTTTTTCAGAGTAAGAAATATGTATGTTAAAGACAGAGGGGCCTAGAAAAGTTCCAGAAAGCCTCTAGGAGTATAGGAAGGGCAAATCACTGTGTGATTTCCCCTTTACCATTTTTATATACACAAAAGTAGTTTAAAATTAACACCGACAGCTACCTTGAAGGGAGAAAGAAGTCACAAAAAGGACCTTTTGGAGTCAGAGAACCTGATTCAAATCCCTGTTCTGCATGTATGACCTTCATTTAGCCTCTTTGCTTCTCAGTTTCCTCATCTATAAAAGGAGAAAGTTGGATTAGTTGATCTCTAAGAGCCCTTCCTATTTGAAATCTGTGATCCTGAGATCTTTTGCACTGGGGGGGTGGGAGGTAGATGAGCAATGGCGGGGTGTTTATATTACAGCCCTGGCCCTCTTTAGTACCAGCTAGGGAGCCACTTCACAACTAGAACACTATCCCTTCAGATCACTGGAGCTGGTGATTGCCCTGGCTTTGATGCCAGAGCAGAAAGGGATAAAGGTAGAAACAAAGTCCCTTGGATAAGATAGGACCTAGAGCACATTTGGAGCTGTTAGATTTTCAAAGTGTGAGAGCAGAAATATCCTGAAGCTACTCCACAAAAAAATGGATATTGGGGGAGGGATTTGTCAAGCTGTGGGAGGGGGTAAATACCAATTTCTGGAACCTCAGGGACATGGGAGGACACTATTTATTTAGCCTTAATAAAGTTAGATTATTTCCCTTCAAGATGTGTAGTTATGTGGTTAATTTGAATCATGTTGTATCTCACTCTCTCTCCATTTGTTGTTAGGGACTGCTGGGATGGTATATGGTGAAGAGTGGATTAGAAGAAAAGCCAGATTCTCATGACATCCCTCGAGTGAGCCAGTACCGCCTGGCTGCTCATTTGGGCTCAGCCCTTGTCCTCTATTGTGCCAGCTTGTGGACTGCACTCTCCCTCTTGCTTCCTCGAGACAAGGTAAAAGGTAGTCTGCATTCCACAGACAGCTGTGACGTCTACTTGTATTCTGCAGTGATAGTGGTGTCAGGAAATATTCTAGCTCATTGAAGATTTAGAAATTATTGAACGGTGGATGATGGTTGACCAAATAAAGTTTTCCTTATAATGAAGTCTACCGATGTTTTAGAAACAAAGTGTTGCCAAGAATGAAAGGAATGTTGAATTCTGTGACCTAAATAACTCATGTCATAGAGCGCTGCATGAGTTTTGGAAGAGACCTAGAGCAAAGTCACCCAAAGGCAGAATCAGTTTAAGGGCAGGACATTTTATCAGCATGCCAGTGTACAGTGGAGTGCGTTGAAGATGATGAGAAAGTTTTAAATAATGAAGTTGGAAGAAGTCTCATGGGAGCAGTGCCTCTTTACCTTTTTTGAGTCCTGCATCCCTTTGGCAACGTCCAGGAAAGCCTTCAGACCACTTCTCAGAAGATTGTTTTTAAATGCATCAAATAAATACATAGGATTACAAGGGAAGTGCAGTATGTTTAATTATAGTTAGGTACAGTTTTTAAAAAACAAGTCCGTGGGCCTCAGGTTAAGAACTCCTTCACTAAAAGACCAAACCCTAGGCTCTCGAATACCCAAAGGAAGAAAGATAAGGCAATTCAGACCAAAGGTTATCTGTGAATGTAAGGTAACATAGAATAAGAATAAGAAAATATAATATTATATAGAATATAATAGATATAATAATGTATATATATCTAATAATAATATAATAAAGCAGATTAGGATGTTCCTATTCTTATATAAAATATAATAGAGAAATAAGAATATAAAATAATTATATATAATTATAATAAATATATTTAGTAGAAAATATAAATAAATAAAATATATTTTGAAATAAAAATAATTTATAATACACATAAATATATAACAAATTATATATTATATAAAATATAATAGAGAAAGCAGGGGCAAGGGTACAAGTGGAGTATTAACTTTTTCTTTTGGTAAATTTTTTATTCATTTTAAACTTCACTACAAAACGAGGGAAAAAAACCATTTCCACGTACACAGCAGAACATAAGAGAGGATTCAATATAAAACCATAAATTTCCATTTCAAGAAAACCCATATAATAGAGGATTAATTTTTGAGAGTAGAGACACCTCTTCTGATTGGTTTGTTCAAGAAATATTGATTGATATAGAAGAGAAGAAAGAATGGATAGAAAAACCTATCTAGAAGCGGAGAGGAAGAAGGATGGGGTGTTCACATCTAATTGCCTTCCTCAGGACTAAATGAGCGAAAGAATGGTGATCACTGACAGCATAGTGTCGTTGGGAAGATGATCCGTTGTCTGGAAGTGGAATGAAGAGCTGAGTTTTACGATTGACTTTACTGAAACAACAAGAAGCATTTGTTGAGTGCCTGCTGTGCCAGGTGCTGGGGCCACAAAGACAAAGACAAACCCATCTGTGCCCTCAAGGAGCTTATGTTGGGCGAGACAACAGAAACGATATAAATATGTACAAAATCAATGCAAGAGAATTTTTGGGAGGAAGTACCAGAAGCTGGAGAGATCAGTTAAGGCTCTATACAGGAGACATCGTTTGACTTGAGCTTTGAAGGAATGAAGGATTATAAGAAAGTGCTGAGAGCTTTCTGGGCCGGTAGCCTGTGCAAGGCACAGAGGAGGACTAAGGCCAGTTTGGCTGGACCACAGAATTTGTAAAGGGAGGAATGAAGAAGCCTAGAAGGGTATACTGGAGCCAGGTTGTAAAGGATTTTAAATGCCAAACAGAGGAATTTATATTTGATCCTAGGGGGAATAGAGAGCCACTGAAGTTTTTTGAGCAGTGGAGTGGTCACACCTGTCATCTAGGACTATCATTTTGGCAGCTGTGTGGAAGATGGATTGGAGAAGGGAGAGACTTAAGGCAGGGAGACCAAGAAGGAGGTTTTTGTATTAAGTCCAGACAAGGTGATGAGGGTCTGAACTAGAGTGGTGGTTCTGTAAGTAGAGAGAAGGGGAAAGATCGAAGAGATGTGGAAGAATTGACAAAGCTTGGCACCTGTTTGGATATGAGGGGTGGGGAGCGTGGAGTTAAGGATGACTCCCAGTTTGCAAACCTGGGTGATTGGAAAGATGATAGTAGCCCTCACAGAAATAGGGAACCTAGGAAAAGACATGGAATTGAATGAATGGAATATAATGAGTTATTTTAAGCCGGAAATGCCTGTGGCATTTTCAGTTTGAAATATCCAGCAGGCAGCTGGTGATGTAAGATTGGAGCTCAGAGCGGTATAAATAACTCTTCAGGTCACCTTCGAAGAGATGCTTAAACCCATGGGAATTGATGAGGTCACCAGAAGAGACTGAAAGAAAGAAGAAAATAAGGCCCAGGGCAGAGCCTTGGAGTCCATTCAACGGGACAGGACGTACATGATGCAGCAAAGAAATCCAAGGAGGAATCAGAGGTAGGAGGAGAATCAGAGTCATGAAGGCAAAGTCAAGAGAGCAGAGTCCTGAAAACCCAGAGCAGAAAGCATACAGGAGGAAGCAGTAGCCAAAGCATCAGATACTGCAGAGAGGTCAAGAAAGAGGAAGACTGAGAAAAGGCCATTGAGTTTGGCAATTAAGTAACTTTGGTAACATTGGAGGGGACAGTTTGAGTTGAGAGACTCCTGTGTAAGCCTGATTATAAGGGTCACTGAGAAGTGGGTGAGGGGGGAAGTGGAAGGCACCAAGGGTAGACAGCTTTTTTAGTTTGGCTGTGAAATGGAAGAGATATGGGATGATAGCTTCAGGAGATGGTAGGGTTAAGTGAGGGTTTTTTTAAGGGTAGAAGAACACTGGATGTATCTATAGTTTTATGAACATGTACAGGACAAGATGAGGTATGCGTGTGTGTGTGCACGCGCGTGCGCATGCTTTGCAATGAATGAGTCTTCAGAGTTGCTTTTTTTTTCTCATTCTCATATTGAAATTAATTTGTATTGCCTGAGCATATAGCACCTGATAGTTGGGAAAGGCTGCACATAAATGTTTTGAGTGTCAATGAAAAGCCAGCCTATAATTAAAAATTTTATACAGTCTACATTTGGATGATTTTATTGCTTTCCTACTTTTCACAGCCCAACCTAGAGGATGAGTAGTCTACCCTTGCTGCCTTCCTTAAAATCCACCCCCTCTTTATCATCTATAATCTGGTGTGTGGACCTTACCAAAACTGGATTCTAGGCACTTCCTAAGTACCTGGTCTTCTTCAGTTCTCACTCTTTAAAAAAAAAATCTCCTTTTTGTACGCTATTGAGTATTCCTTACTTGAAACCTTTTTCTCTTTTGGTGTCTGTGATACTTCTCTCATGGTTCTTCTACCTCTTAATCACTCGTTTTCTTTTCACTAACTAAATGTATTTTCCAGAGTTCTTTTCTCAGCCCCTTCTTTTCTTTCCATACTCTCCTCTTTCAGAGATCTCATTCACTAGTCCCTCAGCTGTCACTTTATGCACATCAGTCTTTATAGAGAATGATATGGGTGCACAGGAAGCTAACTAACTGACCATCCTAAGTTTTAAGACAAGAAAAAAAGAGCAGGAAATAGAGGGTAAAAAAATTTTTTTTGAGGCAGTTAGGGTTAAGTGACTTGCCCAGAGTCACGCAGCTAGTGAGTGTTATATGTCTGAGGCCGGATTTGAATTCACGTCCTCCTGACTCTAGGGCTGGTGCCCTAACCACAGCGCCATCTAGTTGCCCCTGAGGGTAAATTTAAAAGCATGGCACAGTCCTATAAGAATAGTGACAGGAATACTAAAATTCAGAATAAAGTGAGGTTGGTTGAAGACAACTAAAAACAACAAAAAGCATTTTTCTAAAGCTGTATTTGGGGGCAGCGAGGTGGCGCAGTGGATAGAGCACTGGCCCTGGATTCAGGATGACTTGGGTTCAGATCCAGCCTCAGACACGTAACACTTACTAGCTGTGTGACCCTGGGCAAGTCACTTAACCTCATTGCCTCACCAAAAAAAAAACTATCTAAAGCTATATTTGGAGAAAAAGAAGATTCAAAGGAGGAGACAAGAACATTGGGGTGGGAGAAGGCAGAGCTCCTGAGCTCTTAAATTGTTTCTCTTTTCTCTGCCAAGAGGAATAATCTTTAGATTGCAAAGAACAAAAGCAAAATTGGAAAGTGAAACTCAGAATAAGTAGGAAGCTAGCAAGAGATCCTCTCTCTGCCTCTGGGTGAGATCAAGTCACTAGGCTCAAGTGGACTACATCTCAGTGTCCTGAAGGAATTGACAAATAATTCAGCCAAACCAGTGATGGTGATCTCTGAAAGATTATGGAGGCCCCTACTGCCTCCACAGTGCTGGACATGGGTAAATGTTACTAGTTTTTAAAAGGCAGGAGAGCGGGATCTGTAGACTACAGGTACATGAGTTTGGCTTTGATTTCTTGTCTAGGTTGGGTAATCAAAGAGATGGGTAATGAGCATCTAGAATTGGAAGCAGTGATCACTTAGAGACCATGTGGCTTCCGTAAAAATTGGTCATACCAAATAACCTCACTTCTCTTTTTTTTTTTTGGACAGATTACTGAACTTATATATTTATATACATATATACACACACACATATATGTACATATATGTGTGTGTGTATATATGGGTAAAGCTGTAGATATAGTTTACTTAGATTTTAGCGAAGCACTTAACAAATTCTTTCATCTCACATCTCATCACAAAGAGATAAGGGCTAGGTGATAGAACAATTAAATAGATTTGGAACTGGTTTAATGGCTGGAAACCAAAAAGCAGTTATTAATGGTTTTATGTCATATTGGAAAGAGATCAAGAGTGGAATGCCCCAAAGAGCTGACTGTGGTATTTAACATTTTTGTCAGTGACTTACATATAAGCATGCTTATCAAATTTACAGATGACACAAAGCTGGGAATAGCTAACACACTGAAAGACATGATCCCAAAACAGCCTAGAATGTTAATCCTCATCTAATAATTTTGAATTTAATAGAGATAAATATTAAGTTTTAAACTTTGGATTTTAAAACTTAGCTTTGTAAGCATAAGATGGGAAATGTGTGGCTAGACAGCAGTTTACCTGAAGAAGGTCTGGAGGTTGAGTAGATTACAGGTTCTTTATAAGTCAGAACTGTAATATGGCAACCATTATTGCTAATGTGACCTTGGTCTTCACTAAGACAAGGCATAGCTTCCAGGAATAAGGATATGATAATACAGTTGCTATTGTGCCCTGCTCAGACAGCAATTGGAATGTTATATTCAGTTCTGTGTTTTTAAGAAGGACACTGATAAGCTGGAAAGTTCAGAAGAGGAAAGCTGGAATGGTTAGGGTCCTGGAGATAATTTCATGAAGATTGGTTGAAGGAATTAGGAATGTTAAGCCTAGAGAAGAGAGGAAAGGAGAAATATTCGAAGAACTATCATGTAGAATGACAAATTAGACCTTTTCTCCTTGGCCATAAAGGGCAGAGCTAGGAACAATGAATAGAAGCTTAAATAAGCAAATTTAGGGTTAAGATAAGAAAAAAACTCCCTAACAATTAAAGCCAGCCAGAAGTAGAGTGCCCTGCATTGGTAGAGACTAGGTTCTCTCTCACTTGGGACCCTCAGTCAAAGTCTGGATGATCGATTATCAGATATGTTGTAGAGGTAATTTTTGTTCATATATGGGTTCAGGAACTAAAGCTGGAGAGATGAGTAAGCCATCATAGATCTGAAAGGTAATTGCCCATATGTATTAGGACCAAGGGGCAAAGTAGAGATATAAAGAATCCAGTGATCACCCCCAGAAAGGAAGCCCCAAAGGAAAAGTCCCAGAAGTGTCACAGCCAAAAGATATAGCTCCCATGTCAAAGAAAAAACCAGTACAGGTGTCCAGAAAGCAGCACAGTCAGGATCACTCAAGACCTGGCAGCTTCTCCAATAAATGAGAGATCTTGGAATATGGTATTCTATAAGGCAAAAGACAGACTTAAAATCAAGAATAACTTACCCTGTGAAGCTGAGTAAAATCTGCAGGGGGAGAAAATAGACCTTTAATGAGATAGAAGACTTTCCAGCATTAATGATGAAAAGACCACAGCTGAGTAGCAACTATAAAATGCAAACACAAGAGTCCAGAGAAACCAGAGAGGGTAGTTGGAAGGATGAGAAGAAATGTGTCTCTTCAGACATCAGTATCTTCAAAATGCATTAAGGGAATTAAAAAAAATTTTTTTTTAAAAGAGTACTTGAGAACAGATTAATGTTATTCTGTAGTTTTTAAGAAGGGAAAGAGAAAGTGGGTGCAGTAAAAGGAAGGTAGAAAGTACTATTTCTACACTATTCATGTCGAAAGCGGGAAGAAGGGGGTAGAACTCTGTGTTACTCATAGTTGGAGCAAGTGAAAAGAATATCCCAACATGAGGGGAGGGTGGGAGGAACAGGCACTGTATGAAGCTTGTTCTTATTTCAGGTAGACAAAGGAGAGTTGAACATACACACCTAGACACAGGGTTTGGTGTAAAGATACATCATACTCGTAGGGACGTATGGGAGGGGCATTTTCATTGGATTTCTCTAAATATAATGTCCAAGCTTTTTTTTTTTGTTTCCTCATTGTTCTCAGGGAATCGAATGATCCTTAAATCTCAGCCTGTTTTCTAGATCAGTTTTTTTTGTGTGTCAGATATGTTAGGATTTCTTCAATTTTTAAAAAATTTCTTGTTCTTTCATGGAACCCTAGGAATTGCTCTCATTTGCATTTCTTTAATTATTGGTGGTTTGGCTCATTTTTATATGGCTTTTGTTATCTTATATTTTTTACCACCCAGTGCTATCTACAGGGCAGGCAGGCCAGCTTTGCTGAGGTGCCAAGGCAAGGTACCCTGAGGGAGGGACAGAGGGCAGCGTGGGCCAGACACCCTCTGGACCAACCATCTCCCCTCTGACCCTGATAGAAATAGACCAGGATCCTAAGCCTAAGAGTCTTGGGAATATCCATGTGCTGGGCTTCTCGCCCAGTACCCTCAGCCGCCATCCTGGGCAACTGCTATCTCTGAAGATGTAGCCCGGCAGGAGCTACAGCCACATCTACTGAAGACCTAGAAAGGAATGCTCTTGTCCCCAAAGTCCTTGGCCCTGTCAAGTGGTCCAGTCTTGGAAATGGACACCATCTTATCAGTGGAAATGACAGAAAAGAAGAGGGATTAAAATCTGCTTTGTACCTTAAGGACCCATGAGGCTTTCCATCTTGTAGCTGAAACCTTTTATATTTGTTGTCTTCCCCTTTAGAATGGGAGTTCTGTGAGGGCCGGGACCATTTACTTTTCTATCCATATCCCCTACACTTGGCACAATGCTTTGCCTTTAGTAAGTGCTTAAGAAATGTTTATCTCATTCATTCATTTCTTGACAGAGAGGTGATGGAATCAGGGTGCAAAAAGAGACATATTTTTTAGATATGGCCACTGTGATGAGTGATTTTGCTTGTCTGTGCTTATTTATTACAAGGGATATTTCGGTTGTTCTTGCTTTTTAATTGGAGGAACAGTGGAGGAGGTGATGAAAGATCAGCAATAGTGATAACTCTCCCCACCCCCACAAAGGCTCTTGAAAGATTATTTAAAATGCACACAGAAGATGGGGCAGCTAGGTGGCACCGTAAGTAGAGCACCAGCCCTGGAGTCAGGAAGATGTGAGTTCAAATCTGGCCTCAGACATTTGACGGTAGCTGTGTGACCCTAGACAAGTCACTTAACCCCAGTTGCCTCACCAGAAAAAAAAATGCACAGAAGAACACCTAAGGAGGTTCAAAAGGAGCCACAGATAGGAGAGTTTTGAAAATAGAGTGAAATTGGTTATATACATTCTAAAAAAGCAAGAAAAATGACCCAAAGATTCACATGTTTCTTCTTTTTATGTTCTGCTGTGTATGTGGAAGTGCTCTTTAGGGGGGGTGTTTAAGTTCAGAATTTTTTTTTTAAAAGTTTTTATTTTACTCTGTTGGCACCTTGTCAGTGCTCACCTGGTGAACATATAACTTAACTCATCCTTGTTAAAGGCTAAATACTGGACAAAACAGCCTTATCGCTCAGGACAGATCTCTTCAAACATTGTAAAACATTTTAACCTCCTGCATTAGCCACTTAAATGCCTTTATTCTTCACTTTTATTTGGCTTTCAAAAAAATGTGTTGCCTGTTTTTAGATCTTGCAATGTCATTTGTCTCAGTGATTCATCTTATGTTGTACAGTTGCTGGAAACCCGTCAGCTCCAGCAGCTGAGGCGATTTGCTCATGGGACAGCAGGCCTGGTTTTCCTTACAGCTCTTTCAGGTATGAGTTATTGCTAGCAGTTCATGCTACCATCATTTCATCTTGGGATCCTCTCTGGATTCTTCATCTCTTCCTACTGTGTCCCACCTCCGCACACCTTCCATTTATCACCCTCCTCCTCACCTCTCCTCTCTCGCCGCTATCCTCTGCTGTCCAGGCTCTGTTTTCTCATCACCTTGATTCTCAAATATGATTTTGTATTTCTCCATCTTTAATTTACTAGTCTTTTGTCACATCAAAACATGATTGATGAAATAGCAGTGCTCTGAGGGATGTTTTCCTGAGAAAGCATTGCTTTAATCCCAGAGATGAGAGTGATACCCCATTTGCTCCTAGCTTCACTTTAACAAATCAATTTTGAATCTGTAATCCATAATTTTGTCTAAGCCTTCTCTAAATGTATTTTTCACACGGAGCACCATCAAGGGTAAAGATTATTTCATAATCATTTATACTGCCAAAGGGATTTACCTGAAGTGTAAATTTGGCCATGTCGCTCCTAATAATGAACTCCTGGGGCTCTTTATTGTCACTTGATTAAATATAAAGTCATTTGCTGCCGCCCAGCCCCAGCCTGCCTTTCTGATCTTCTTATACTCATATTATTCACCTGGCTGTTATTTTTTGTGCAATATATTATATAGGTGTGTACCTGTGATTTCCTCCATTCAAACAGGTTTATTTTTGTCTTTGTGCCCACAGAGCCTGGCACATAGTAGGTGCTTGACAAATGCCTATGGATTGATTACCAGAATACCTCTTACTTTTATTGTTTCTGTCTTGTAGCACCAGGATAAAAAACTAGCATATTTGTTTTGTGGTGGGGTGTTTTTAACATGTAAAAATATTATATTTGTTAGTTTCCCTCTTATTTTGAGTTTTTTAATTTATCTTGAACTATACAGGGGCCTTTGTGGCAGGCCTGGATGCCGGACTTGTATACAACTCCTTCCCCAAGATGGGAGAGCGATGGATCCCAGAGGATCTCTTTACTTTTTCTCCGGTCCTTAGGAACGTCTTTGAGAATCCAACCATGGTGCAGTTTGATCACCGAATCCTGGTATGTTTGTCTGAAAAGGAAGCTGGAAGTGCAGGAGCTATTTACATACCCAGTCCCACTCAGATCAGCACAAGATCTTTGGCCTGGTCAATTTCTGGCCTGGGATGGTTTGTCCCTCCTTAGACAGCCTAGTGTCCCCCCAGTCCCAAGGGCCCACAATATGAACACTCAAATTATGGTAGACATGCCCTTGGCCCACCAGCCACCACACCTGGCAGTTCAGTTCATTTCAACAAATATTTTTCGAGGGCTTACTGTAATCAAGACCCTGCTTAAGGCGCTGGGAATACAGATACAAAAACAAAATTCCCCACCCTCAAGGAGCATACATTCAAACATTTATTAAGCAACTGGTGTTTGCCCGGCACCGTTAGATGTAAAAAAAGAGAAAATCTTTGCCTTTGAAGGATTTACAATCTAGTGGGATATGACGTGAATTCAGTGGAATTAAGTTACTTGGAGGGGAATTATTATTTGTTATTGCTGTGTTCCCAAGGCCTAGCATAGTGCCTGGCACACAGGTGCTTAATAAGTGTTGAATAGAATTGAATGTGATATAAGATAAAATATGAAAAGAGTAAGGCAAAAAATAAAAATTAAAAGTATAATTGGCAAAGAGCTTTGGAATCTTCTTTTATTTCTGTAAAGAGTGTTTTATTGGGGAAAAGTCATTATTTCTTATGAGCAGCTCTGACCAGCTTCTTCCTTTCTTATAGGGAATCACTACAGTCACAGCCATTACTGGGCTTTACTTCCTCTCCCGGAGAATCCCCCTTCCTCGAAGGGCCAAAATGGCGGTGGCAGCATTGCTGACTGTGGCCTATGCACAGGTATTGACCACTTCTTTAATTAGCAAGGTATAACGGGGACAGCCCAGGATTGAAGGTAGAAGGGCTTGGGTTCAAATCCCAGCTCTGCTCCTAGTACCTTTGTGACCTTGGACAGATCCCTTCAGCTTTCAGTGCCTTAGTTACTCATGTGTAAGATGAGGGTGTTCATGTAAACGAGGACTAAGGACCCTTCCAGCACTTGGTCTTGTAATCCTATAATGACGATGGTGGTAATAATTGCCAGCATTTATGTGATACTTTACAGCTTCAAAGCGTATTGCCTATATGATCTCATTTAATCCCCACAACAAACTTGTGGCATAAAAGTAATATGGGTACTGTTATCCCCATTTACAGATGAGGAAAGTGAGGCTAGTGACAGCCCCATAGTCTTGCAGCTGGTGAGTGGATGGCCAGGGCTCAGATGCTGTGTTTGGTGTTTTTTTCCATTATGTCACATCTTTTAGTTTGAGCATGTCCTCGATGTCACCGTGTTCTGCTCACAGCTCAGAACTTTCCTGCCGTATACTGAGGAGCGGCAGAGATCTTAGAAATATAAATAGCTGGCCGATATGTGATAAACGATTGCCTCGTCTGAGGGCTTGTGAATGTTCGCTTCCATTAAACAACTGTTTCCCTGTAAAAATCTCAGCCCAGTTCTTGATCATGGCGTGGAGGTGATCCTAGCTTGTTATTGGCTCAGCAGGCCAATGTAGGTTTTACCAGACTGGATAGGCTTTGGGTGTGGGCCAGTGACACACTGGATGTGTTTTGTCTGGATCAGCCTAACTGTGTTTGGAGGGGCTTATTGCCTGGGTGGCCTACAGGAGAATAACGTTTTTATCTACAGAAATTCTCAAAGATTATTCAGATTGTGGAGGGCTCATGTGTAGATAGTGGGAGTAATTATGCTGATGAAATCATGGATCTTGAAAGGATTGATGGAAGTTTAACAGAGGGGATGACCTGGCTGGCTTTAGAGCTGGGTGAGTGAGACCCTGGAGGTCATAGAGTCCAACTCATAGCTGAAGAAATGAAAGTCCAGAGAGACCAGTGACTGGTGAAGGCCAAGGCAGGAAGGAAGAAGTAGAGCTGGGAATTGACTCCCATGTCTTGGGCCTTTTCCACCATGCCTTTCTGCATCCCTTTTGTCTGGATTTTTCCCTTGGACCAGGGATAATGCCTTGAACACAGTAGGAGCTTAATAAATATTGACTGGATACATGAATGAAGCAATGCTTTGGGCTGTCTTTCCAGAACCATCCTATCTTTTTTGATCATCTTTCCCTGATCTGTACCATCCTTTTTCTCTCCCTCTTTTTATCCTGAGCCCTCTGGCCTTATTTCCTCCCCAAGCTTTTTCCTTCTGTTATTTATCAGGGATCTATTGCCCTTTGCCATATTATGGTTCTTATAACTGGGGCCCCTCTTGAGAATCAGGAGCTAGAAACCTAGATTCCCCAACAATATCATGATGTGGAAAGAGCTTTGGAGTCAGAGAAACCGGGTTCAGATCATGTCTCTGATGTTTACTACCTGTGCAATCAGTCTTAGGCAAGTCACAAACCTAATTGGGCTTCAGTTTCCTTATCTATAAAATGAAGAAGTTAGATCAGATCACTTCTGAGGTCCCTTCCAGCTCTAAATCTAGAATTCAGTGACCCTGTGATCTTTTGTTTTTCAGTCATGTCCAGCTAACTAACTCTTTGTGACCCTGTTTGGGGTTTTCTTGGCAAAGATACTGGAGTGGTTTGCCATTTCCTTCTCCAGCTCATTTTACAGATGGGGAAACTGAGGCAAACAGGTTAACATGCCTTGCCCAGGGCACACATCTGTTAAGTGTCTGAGGCTGGATTTGAACTCATGAGGAGGAGTATTCCTTGGCTCCAGGTCTGGCAGTCTATCCACTGTGCCTACCCAATGGTTGCATCATAGATGTGACCACTGACAGATGCCACATTTTCACAAGACTTAACCACTCTTCTTTTCCCCAAAATAAAGGAGCATTTGGATTTTTGGCACTTTGATGTGTACCTTCCCTCCCTCTGATGTATCCTTTTGTATTCTCTGTACTAATCTGCCTTTTTACCCTCTATGTATTATAGCTTGATTATATGCTCTTAATTATTATGGAATATTTCTACTTTATTTTACATTTAACACTAATGGGAAAACAGATGGAAATTACAAAAGCTTATTTTATTTTGGCTAGCCATATTAAGTTTCTTTTAAAAATCACTATAGTTACTGTTGTTCTCATTTATTCATTGTGGTTCTGTTTGTTTTTCAACAGGTGGGCTTGGGCATTAGTACTCTACTAATGTATGTTCCAACTCCTTTGGCTGCAGTTCACCAGTCAGGGTCCCTGGCTTTACTCAGTGTTGCCCTTTGGCTTATGAATGAACTGCGGCGAATCCCAAAGTAATGCTCAGGGCAGCTACTTCTGGGCCACACCCAGGCTTTTGAGAACACTGTAGGGGGCATTGGGCTTCCCCTCCCGATGAATTGAGGAAATGATGTGGGGGATAGGTCAGATGATCAAGATGAAGTTACTGGGCTGAGGATTCTTTTTCAAACAAAACTATTCTTCACCCCTAAGGTGAATAGTGGTCACTTGCTTTTTAACATGGTTGTCTAAGAACCATCCGGGCTTTTAGGACTTTGATTCTTTTGATCCAGCAGTACCGCTGCTAGGTCTGTGTCCCAGAGAGATTTAAAAAATAAAAATAAGAGGAAAAGAACCTATTTGTACAAAAATATTTATAGCAGCTCTTTTTGTGGGGGCTAAGAGTTAGAAATTGAGAGGATGCCCATCAAATGAGAAATGGCTGAACAAGCTGTGGTATATGATTGTAATGGAATATTACTGTGCTGTAAAGAAATGATGAGCAGGCTGATTTCAGCCTGGGAAGACTTACATGAACTGATGCAAAGTGAAATGAGCAGAACCAGGAGAACATTGTACACAGTAACAGTGATATTGTACAGTGAAGATGTGAATGACTTAGCTGTTCTCAGCAGTACAATGATCGGAGACATTCCCAAAGGACTTATGATGAAAAATGTTATTTGCCTGCAGAGAAAGAACTGATGTTGTTTGAATACAGACTGAAACATACTGTTTTTCACTTTTTTTTTTGTTTGAGTCTTGCACAAAATGCCCACTGTGGAAATGTTTTACATGATAAAACTTGTAACCAGCTTGCTTACCATCTAAGGGAGGGAAGGATAGAATTTGAAACTCAGAACTTAAAAAAAAAGTTAAAAGTTGTTTTACATGCAATTGGGAAAAAAATAAAATATTATTTAAAAAGATGCTGATTCTGCTACAGTCTTACGGTAGATGGGGAAACAAAATGTGAAGTCTTGGTTAAAGAACTTCTTCTCAAGCTGCTCCTTTGCCCTCAGTGGTCACTGTTTTTGGCCCCCCAGAGAAGTAGTCTCTGTCATCGACATTTCCCTCTCTGGCACACAACCTCTGTCCTCTTGTTTCATTCCTCTGGGGCTCTCCTGGCTGAGCTGTTGATGATAGGTTAATCACGAAGAGGCAAAAGCAAACTGACTCAAAGTGAGGATGTGGCAGTATGACTTTGGGCAAGTCACTCAGCTTCATGAGGCTCCAGGTTTTAAAATGAGAAAATTATACTAAATGGTATCAAAAGTCCCTTCTATTTTAAAATTCTGTGTATGCTTACAGATAGGCACACTGCTAACGTATTGGCTGGCTAACGTATTATCTTAGGTAATGATGCTTTAGCCCAAATAAAGCGATAGTATTTTTAGTCAAGTGGGCTGGGTAGAGGTTCCTTAAAGAGTAAAGGATTCTGCCCACATCACAGTTTTCCCAAGAGTCAGCTGTGTACACACTCCCCCACAGACAGATTACCAGGCTAAACCAGAATTGTAGGGCTAGGGCTTGAACCTGAAATCTCACTGGTGCAGGGGAAACCTGGTGTGGAACTTCCCTCCACTGGTGGTACGGTGTCATGGTACAGATGTCAGCACCTCTGCCTTACTGCCTTGGGTGCCTGGAACCCTGAGAAGTAATGTGACTTACCCAGGGTCACATGGGTAGTAGAGGTTAGAAGCAGGACCCCTTCTTCAGGCCTTCCTGGCTGCAAAGCTCTTTCAACTTTGTCGTGTCTTAGTATGGCATTGTCCATTCCCCCCACCCCACCCCCCCCCCCGATGCCTGAGTGCCGAAGAGGACAGAGCCTAATGGGTGTGTTGGTTGGTGCGGGAGCACCGACTGGTTCTGGGCAGTTTGGAGCCTTTGTTTACCCGATCTCTTCATTTTACAGATAAAGAAACTGAGAGCCAGAGAGGGAAAGGGGCTGACCAAGTACAAGGTCATAGTTTGTAGCAAAACCAGGCCCAGAGCCCCAGTGTCCTGATGTGACTGCCAGCGTGGTGTCCTCAGGCTTGTTCGGTTCATGAGCGGGCTTTAGCACCGTGCTCCTCTATGTCTTACTTCTTCCCCCCTTTCCTGTTGCAGTGGTTGGGCTTTCCCTCCTTTCCTCAACCGATTGTCCTGTTTCAGGGTGTGTGTGTGCACAGCATGGTACAGAGGGAAGGGTGTGGCTTCCAGGTGGGAGGCCTAGGTTCCTTTAGGGGCTGATGCTTGCCACCCATGTCACCACGGCAAAACTACTTTACTGTCCTGGGTCTCAAGGGGTTGGACTAGGGGACTAGGCGCTGATTGCTCTGCCTTCTGTTTGACCCCTGAAATGACACTGATTTTGCTGTGTTCTTTTTCCATTTCCTTGGAGCCTACCTCTCCACTAGAATCTATTGTTTCCTTACTTAAAAAGCATTTATTGTTCTGATCAATTCTGTATTGTTTTAAGTTAATGTTTTTATTCTCCCCCTAGGTTTTACAGTTGTCACTGTGTGTAGTTCTTTGTTGGACTATCTGACTAGCCCAAACACTTTGGGTACCTTCCTTACCCATCCAGATTTTGTCCCAAAAATCTAGAGGTAGTTTATCGCTTGGTTAATTATGAAGCTCCTGTAGCAGAGCCAAATACCTTATTTCAAGGGCCCAGAAATGATTGTAGCAGCTAGCCTCCAAGGAGCTAACAAACTCTTTACTTGTGACTATTCCAAGAATGGAACAGGTGAAGGATCTGTGACTACATGGGGGAAAAGGAAGGTGTGAGTTTTCTAGCTGACGTGACCCTGATCTTGCAGGCCCCCGGCCCAGCCTTCTGTCCCACCTACACCCGTAGAAATGGAGGCCACTGAACTCTGTGGAAGGATCCCTGGTGGTGCATTATCTACACTCAGGCCAAGCAGGGGAGTATTTTGGACTGTGTGCTTGAAAAGCCTGCCCTGCAGGACTCTACCTCTCAGGAAGCTGCCTTTGTGGGAATCAAGCAGAAGCGCCTTCTTTGGTCACACACTTGGGCCTCGTTCATCCCTCAGTGGGCAGAGGGCAGTGTGACACTGTCCTGCTAGTCTGACTGTCCCAAGGGAACACCTGAAGTTAGTGGCAGATGCATTTGGCCTCCTTTCTCTTTAATCATTAGCTTGGGGCAGAATTCAGTGGGACAGGAGGGTCAGAACTACTGAAGAGAAATCAGACATGGGGGCAGCTAGGTGGTGCAGTGCATAGAGCACCAGCCCTGGGACAGGAAAACCTGAGTTCAAATGCAGCCTCAGACACATAACACTCACTAGCTGTATGACTCTGGGCAAGTCACTTAACCCCAACTGCCTCATATTTTAAAAAAAAGAAAGAAATCAGACATGGCCCCAGGGTTTGGGGTAGGAAACAGCACGTCCCACATAAAGGTACCCAAATATCTGAGCAACTGTGGGGATAGGAAAAAGTAAATACTAGGGATACAAAAGATCTATTAATTATGAACCTTTTACCCAAGACCTGGACAAAATCTTTGTCACGCATGAAAGAAAAGAAGTTTAATCTTGGTATTACTATACAACTGATTGCACATTAAACATGATTTCATAGCAAGCTTGTTTCCATTTAAATTGTTAAATTACATAAGATTTATAAGAAACCACTTATATAAATATAAAAATTGGAGCCAGTAGAAAAACAACTACCATAATGGCAAATTGTTGGCAAATTATCCTACCTCCTATTGCAGGGCCTTTGCACAAGTGGGGCCCCATATCTGGAATGTGCTTTCCCCCTCAGACTCCCTGCCTTCCTTCAAACCAGAGTCTGGGTCACACTTCCCTGACCCCCTCCCCCATCTCGCTCATTAGCACGCTGTCCTTGAAATTACTTTACACATATTTCCTATTTACATGTACATATATATTCTATCACCAGATGTAAACTCCATGAAGGGAAGGAAAAATCTGTTTTAATTACCTTAATAAAAGCTTACTGAATGTAATTCTGTTTGTATAAACTGAAAGGTATTCTTTTTTGCTTCAGGTATCCAGAAGAGTATTCCAACTATAAGGGCCAGTGTGAAGTGATGGGAATTTTATGCTTTATCCTATTGTCTTGCCCCCTCTTCTGGCGAAGATTTCTGAGCCATAAACAGACAGGAGGTGACCTCTGTTATTACAATTTGAGGATACCTGATTGTGAGTTTAGCACAGAAGGGAAGAAATGACCCAAAGAGGACATAGAAGTCCTAGATTTAGATTCAGAAGGCCCCGAGTTTGAGTCCTCAACTCAATACTAGTTATGTAACCACAATTAAGTCATTTAACCCCTCTGACCTTCACTTTCCTCCTCTATGATATGGGTACGATATCATCCATTTTTATAAAGAAAGTACTTTAAAAGGTTAGCTATCATGATAAAAAATAGACTTTGCTGTGGAGGAAAACCATGAGCTGGAGCAGAGGCAAAAGAAAAGTACTAGCTGTTTGTCTAAGCAGGGCAGATCTACTTTCTAAGCCCAAGGAGAGACCAAGCTCAAAAAGGTGAAATCCAAGTTAGACTTGAGAATAGTGTAAACAAAACAAAAACAGAAGCGTAGAAGGCCAGAGCTGGAAGGGGTTGGCCCTGGAATCATTTAGAGATGGGTGAACAGATCCACAGGCAGGGGTGACTCACCTGAGGTCACCCAATGAGTTAATAGGAAAATGGACTAAAACCCCAGGCCCCTGACTTACAGAGCAATGCATCAGCCTTACTGGGCTCCCTCCGATCTGTTTGTCATCGTTTTTCAGGGTATGACTAATTGCTCTTCGTGAAATGCATGGCAAATTTAAGTATAAAATGAACCACAATTTTTGGCTTTCAAGAACTGATTTTAGCAGTATTTTTGGATAATACAAAAGCCTTACAGACTCAAGTATTTGGCCATAAATGGCAATAAAACGAGAATGCAGTAGAGACTAACTCAGTGGAATTCTAAGCCTCAACTGTGGCTACTGCCACCTTACTTTTTAATCCAACTGAAATTAAGCTAAGTGACATAACAGACATACTCGCACAAAGAGAGGGAATCAGACAGTTCTAAACCTGCTTGCCAAGACACTAAAGGCAGCAAAAAAGAAAGCTGTTACTGGAAGCGTAGACGCCTTCTGCAACAATAATCCAATTGCTTAATGTTTTTGTCGTTGCTCTTCGGTTGTGTCTGACTCTTTGTGACCCCATTTGGGGTTTTCTTGGCAAAGACACTGGAGTGGTTTACCATTGCCTTCTCCAGCTCATCTTACAAATGAGGAAACTGAGGCAAACTTGCCCAGGGTCACCCAGCTAGTAAATGTCCGAGGCTGGATTTGAACATGAGCCTTCGTGATTCCAAGCTCAGTGCTCCATCCACTGCCCTATTGCTTAATGAGGTAGAGCTTATTACTCATTCGTCCTTCGATAATTTGGAATGTGACTAGCCTGGAAACACCTTAGATGATGCTGTTGGCTGAATGAATTACTGACTATAAAGGCAGGCAAATTCTAAAAATACATGCCTAATATTACCTACTTAGAGAATCATGAAACCGACTGAGAACAGCAGAAGCCAGTATGTGAGTTTTAGCTAAACACTGCTAATACTCTTATTTGTTAATAATGAAAATTATTCAGATGTGAGCAAAGCAGTTAAATGCATAGCAAAGGTAATTTTAGGCATTGAGGTATTCATGAAAGGTGGTAAACATACACCAGAATATATTATGCAAATGATACTGTTATAATCAAGTCTTGGAGCAGGGTGTGTCAATATATTTATTCTACTGGAATTGCCTGTAATGATTACTGTTAGAAATGATGTCTTCCCCATCGACTTAAGGGATTAGTATCTAAAAGCACCAAAGTGTCTCTTGCCCCAGCCCTCCCACTTGCTTAAGTTCTCAGACATTTTGGTCTGTAGACTAAAGACCCATGAAATTAGGTCACTGATATTAATGATGTCAGCAAAGACTGACATTATATAAGTAAATGACTATATTCCCAAAGGGAGGTAGGCCCACCAGGAGGGCCTAGGTTCATAATGGCTTCGTGACCCTGGGCAAATCTCCAAACCTCTCAGTGCTTTGGACAGCATTCTAAGTCTGAGTCGTAGAAAAAGTGCTGAGCTGCACTGGTAGAGGGGAGTTTCTTCCCCCAGGGATTCCCCATAAAAATGAAATCTCTGGTCCAGTCTCTATCCTTATAACATCTAATGGGCCACACTTTGAGAAATACTTCCCAAGAATCCTGAAAGTGAATTAGAGTAAAGGCAGAGCTGAGTAAGATGAAACACTTTCACAGGATACTTAACAAGCAAATCTAAAATCTTTCCAGACCCTTTAAAAACCCTTTTGTTGGCCCAAAAGCAGAGTTAGTAGAAGTAAGGACATTTGTGAGGGGTTAACAGTTAACTGCTCGAGCCTGTATTATGCCAAACTACTGAATATTCACCTTTTTTTCTGCTTTACCAAGGAATGAATATATAGACAAAAGTTGAAGAGCGAAAAGGATACATTGCATTTAATTATTCAAAATAAAAATCTGTTGTCCTGAGATAAGGAAAATGCCATTACAGCTTTTCTTACGAGGAAATATAATGGGATTTGACCTGAATCAGTAACAGCAGAGATCATATTAAAATTTGCAAGGGAAAAAAGTATTGAATTTGATGAAAGTATTTCTCTTCACAGGGAGAAAAATTCCAATTACAGATACCTAAGTAGAAGAAAAATGCAAAAAGACTGAAAGCTTGTGGTGGGGGATGAGAGAGTGAAAGCCACACTGTAGTATGCAAACCCAAATTATGGACAGGTCCTAAGAAGGGAACAAGGATAGCTCCGTTGTCAGGGAAGTGATGTTCGTCATGTGACTCTAAAAAGACCCCATCTGGAAGTTGACAAAGAGCCCGCAGAAAGAGCAAAGGAATGAAATGCAAGATAAAATGCCAATAGCAAATATTAAGTGTCTTTGGTAGTTTTAAGAGATAACATTTAGATATCTTCCTTCCATGCTTTCACACAATTTAAAGGTAATAACTTACTTGAAACTGAGAATATAATTGGTCCCAGACCTTGTAATTAAAAAACACATATTCAAAAAAAGCCAAAAACCATTTCCAATAACTCGATAATATGAAGGATAATTTACACAAAAAACCATGACAAAATGTACTCAGCCTAAGGAATGATCCCAGTGAAGTGAGTGCTTTCGTGTATTTAACAGCTCTTCCTTCTCTCTGTGCCCTTCCGTCCCCAAACACTTTCCCTGCTGAATGCGGTTTACTGGCAGCTGACTCGAAAGCGTTTGTTTAGTTCTCGTCTTGAAGTCAGCATTCCAAACATTGGGAGGCCGAGGTAGGAAAAAAAAAATGGAACTGGATTGGTGCCAGGTCACTACCCCACCCCCGACATATGTTTTTAAATGTCAACCAAACATGTTTTTACTTTAAAATATGAAAGCAGAAAAATGGGGGGGGGAGGGGAAGACAAAATTGGGATAAGGTAACCATATAGGCCTAATGTAGTATAGGAACATTTTCAAAGACAGCTATGGAATCTCCATATCGGATTCATTTAATATTTCCCTGAAGGAAATTCAGAGATCTTTGTCCTTCCCTAATAACTCAAAAATCACTTTGAGACCTGGCTGGAACCCTTTCATCGCCAGTTCTTACCAAGCAGGTATGTATATTTCCACCTTGTTTAATTTACAGATCTTTTCTTTACTCATGCTAAGTGAAAAGGGGACCAAGAGAAAAATTATGGAAAGGGAAAGTCAGAGTGGCTTATGGGGGGAAGATCAAAAGTAAAAAAAAAAAAGTAAAAACTGAGGGGAAAAAATCGTCAAAGGTTGTTGCAAGAATAGAAAAACCAAAGGCACCCAAGGAGAGTAGGTGAAATAGTAATTGTTCCATGACATCCCATAAAGGCTGGTCCCTTTGGCCCTAAAAGTCCAGTCTGATTATTGCTGCCTTGTTCTCTCTTTACTTCATGAAATGTTGATGGAGATGGGGGAGAAATGCCTTTTAAAGTTATCAAACTGGCCAGATCAGACTGTTTCCTACATGGAACTCTCTTTCTCCAGAAATTCTCGAAGGCAAAAACTATCAACAACTTTTTAAAAGACTTGACTTTTATTGCCCTTTCCCCAGAATTCTGCTATTTCTTTTCCTTTCTACACAAACATATACATCCCTTCTGACACTATATATCTATCTTGGCAATGAAATGAAGTGGCAACTTAGAACCCAGACCTAGAGGCTCAGAAATCCTAATTAAAAAGCCAAACAAAACCCAAGGACCTGCTCTGTCACAGCTTCCAGAGTCCTATAAGCACATGTAAGGCTCAAGAAGTAAAATAATGCCTAGAGTTAGTCCAGGGGTGGTGGACCTGCGGCCTGAGGGCCATAGGGCCATAGGTTCCCCACCCCTGCTTTAGCCTTGCCTGCAAATTGACATGGAAAAAACTGACCCATGCCAAGCAGACAGGAACAAAAGTCTTCAATGGAGCCCTTGGAACAGACATATCCCATTTAAGTCACGTTAGCAGCAAGCCTAGGCCAGAGTCTTAGGCTATCCCATGAGAGCTTCACTGCCAGGTAAAAAGAGAATTCATTGGTGTGATTTCAGTTGCCTAGAAGTTCTGCTGGTCCACGGTCACAAAAGATCCTTGGATCATTATTAAAAGCTGTGGATCTCCACATATGAGACTTCTCTGTTACAGAGAAAGAAAAGATTGCCATGCTTCCTAACATCTATTAGGCTTGGTATCAGATGTCTCAAGTTCCAGCATCCTCTTGCCCAATGCCACACTCCCTTCCTTACTGAGGGGAGTGGAAGCTGGGTATAGCTCATTCCTCCAATACCAAACCCTCCCTGATAAAGGGGTAGAAGCATACCCTGTTGGCACTGTTAGGTAGAGCAAGGCTGAGTGCCCTGTGTCAGCTCTATCACTTCACAGATTAGGTTATGGCTTCTCTGGATAGCTGGTCATGAGAAAGTGTGAGAACACAACACAAGAGTAGTCTCACAGATCATCGAAGCAGCCTCTGAGACAGGCCCAAGATGGGGCCAGGGCAGCCTGAGCTTCAGTTCTCTGGTTCTTGAGATGCTTTGATCCTGGAGCAGCATCATGGTCCCACCTGCACCCCGATGATGGGCACCACGTCTTCTATCCACAGCAGGTCTAAGGGGGCGGAGCTCTAGCTTGTCGATGGTGAATTCGGCGCAGCCGCAGAAGGTACAGAACGATAGCCAGCAGCACCACCAGGATGCAGGCAAAGAAAAGATAGTGGTTGTACACAAAGGAGAGGCGCAACCAGCCGCTGTGGGCCTGCCGGACACCTTCCTGTCGTAAATCCCTAGGGAAACAACGGGAGGTTCAGAAAAACAACATTAGCTTCCTAAAGGTAATAACTTATTTTGGATTAAATCACCCAACCCAAATATTCCACAGTGCCAGCTACAAGTAGGCTGTTAAGATCCAATGACTGGATGCTGGTGCTAGAGGACTCCTCAAGTACTTCCTTACACTTCATACATTTCAGGCTGAAATGACAGTGCAGCCTTTCTGACCATGTTGTGCTCTTTCTTTTCCTTACGGAGTGCACTCTGAGAGAAGCTGCAAAGGAAGCCTCTCCTAACCAGCCCCTGTGCCCAATCTTTAACAAGCCCCTTCGGCCTAAGTCAGATAGTAGCGCTGGATGGATGCTCCTAAGTTCACAGGCCCGAGCTCAGAAAGCAGAGAGTGATTTAAACCCCATTAAATGTGCCTGGCTTTACCTGAGTGGTAGGAAACGTGTTTTATACAAAATGGCTCCTAGGGTCCACTGCACCTCCCGGTCATACACCAACTGGGCAGTCTGCAGGTTTGGGTAATTATATGGGAAGTGGAATCCTTCATGGAGGACTTGGTACATCCAGGCTGACTTAAAACACTGATATCTGCAAAGAGAACAGACCTACTCTTCCGATCCCCACTTTGAACGCCATGCCAGAGAAAAGTGCCTCTCCTTCCCTGCGCAGCTTTCTTATCTCTGAATGGAGCCCCAGCGGAATGGCTCTCCCATGGCCACACACTCCCCCAGCGTTGCCACCACCATCGACGGTTTCATCTTCATTTCCCTCCCACTAGTTTTCCAGAATTCCTTTTGATGAATTCAGGGGTCCCTGGGTCTCCTAGCATATGCTTACTACAAAACCCCCTCACATCCTCCAAAAGAACCAAACACCACCTTCCACCATTAACTCTCCTGCGTTTGATGACATTTGAGGAAATCGATGCCTTACTTAAGTCGGTGTTGGTCAGCATGTGATGAGAAGAGGCCATTCCTGAACCTCTGAGTCAGCACTGGCCAGGCCATACTGCAGTAGTCCTAGAAGAGGATGGATGACATAAACCAGGAAGGATGAACACTTAGGGGAATTTACAATTCATCCCATTCATATTGACTAGACTGACAAAAGAAGATGCAGTACAAGATGAGGTGGGAAAAACCCAGGCCTTCGAATCAGGAGACCTGGGTGGGAACCCCAGACCTGCCATCTGCTCTCTGGGCTCTTACCAAGTAATCTGACTTCTCAGTTTCCTTTCCTACAGAAAGAAGACAACAAAGTTTGCCTGAACTACCTCACGGAGTTGATAGGAGGGAAAACACTTTGTAAACCTTACAGTGTTGAGCTAATACATCATATACACCTCATCTTTTAAGCCCAGAAACAGAAACTGACAAATAACTATGGGGAAAAAGAAGAAGCGGAGAGGAAGGGAATCAACATTCATACAGCACCTACTATGTGTCAGGCACTATGCTAAGTGCTTTTTACAAATATTACCTCATTTGATCCTCACAACAACCTTGTAAGGTAGGTACTATTACTATCTTCCCTTTACAGTTGAGTAAACTAAGGCAGACGGAGGTTAAGTAACTTGCCTAGGATCACCCAGCTAGTAAATGTCTGCGAGGCAGGTTTTGAACTCAAGTCTTCCTGACTCAAGGCCCAGCACTCTATCCATTGCACCACCAACTTCTTCTGAAAAAGGAATTATGTAAGTACAGAGCACTAAAGTATTTCCCCCCATGTTTTTAAAGAGGGAAAAGATACAGGTCCTTCATTTCCATGTTTTCAAATGGGCCAGATTTCTTTTCTCCATTGAACTACACAGAATCCATCCCATAACAATGACAGCAGAATTATGTCACAATTTTAGCTCAATATCAGCTTCCTAACATCTAGAGCCCCCACTCATGCTTTTCTCTCCATCGCTGGATGAAACCACTCCACCCTGTCTCCAGAGAACCTCTGTTCCAAAATGGTACTGGCTTAGGTCTGGAAGCAGCAAAAGGACTCCACAGTGAGGTTCTTTTTATATGTGACGTTCCCAAACAAGGCTAGCCTTCTTCACAAATACACAGAACGGTAATCGCGAGGCTGTCAAACTGCTACAACTTTAAGATCAAAAAAAGGTCCCCTGATCTAAATTCCATCGCTGCTCATCACTGTGCTCAAATTACAACTCACTCTAGGCCCTGGTTACATCACTCTTTTTGCAAAGTAAAACACAGGCGTCATAGATGGAAAGAGCAACATGCTAAGCCATTAGTGCCTGATCAAGGAACAATTTATCACAATATTAAGAGAGGAGGTTGGCATCCCGGTCAGAGCTCCAACACTCGCTAGCTTGCGTGTTCTTCAGCAAGCCACTATTCGGGCCTTAATTTCTTTACCTGTAAGATGAGGGGACTGGTCAACATGACCTCTAAGGCCCCTTTCAGCTCCAAATCCTACAAGCCTTAGAAAGGAGGAGTTACAAGGGGATGGGACCCAAGAATTTTTGTGGTGTTCTTGGGTATGGGGGCAATAGAGGAGTACTGGAAAAAGAATAAACAAGAGAGCACTGAACAGATGGGGGCAGGATGCTGGGCAGTGAGAGGGCAGTACTAAAAACTGAAGTGGAAAAGTTGAATATAGATTTCACCTATTTTTACATTCTGCCAAATGACTAGCCCAGTTCCTTAAGAGTACCTGGGGAAAGAAGGAAAGTGATAGTAGAAAAGCAGGCTGGGTATGAAGGAAAGAGAAACGTCTACAAGACTTGGCTGGCATTACGTCTCCTACTGGTTACTTTCCCTTACCTAGGTTTTCATAGCCCTGCCTCCCCTGTTCTGCTTCTATCCATCAAATTGTTCCTTTACTGTTTCCTCCGTTGGACCATCATCTATGACCTGCTCCATATTTTGTATGTATAACCCAAGATGGTTCCTGGGCCCTTTTCTCTTGGTAACGTCAACATCTCTCATGGGTTCAATTACCATCTATTCAGATGACTCCAAGATTTAAATATCCAACCTCGTCTCAGCCCTGATCTCCAGTTCTGTATCACCACCAGATATCAGACATGTCCTCCTGGATGTCCCACAGGCATCTCAAACTCAAAGTGTACAAAACAGAACTCATTACCTGTCTCCCTTCTCCTATGCCCATCCCCACACCAAATGTTCCCATTTCTGGGAGTGCCCACCATCTTTCCCAAGTTCACAATCTGAGTCACCCTCAATTCACCTGCTCCTTCACCCTCTCATATCCAATCAGTTGCCCACTACCTCCAGAACATCTCCTGCATATCCATCTCTTTATCTTCATTCACATAGATACTCATTAATTCAGACCCTCACCACCTTTCACCTACACTATTAAGATAGCTTTTTAATTAGATTCCTGGCTTCTTGTCTTTCCTTTCTCCAATTCGTCTTTAACACAGCTGCCAAAACATTCTTTCCAAAGCACAAGTGTGACCACAGCACCCTCCTGTTCGAGAAAACTCAATGGCTCCCTCTTACCACTGGAATAAAATACAGATTCCCCAGCTTGGCATTTAAAGCTCGTTATAATCTGGCCCCAAGCCACTTTTCCTAGTTGACTGTATTCTGCAATCTACTTATTGCAATCTATTGGCCTGCTTGTCTGTGAATGTGACTCTCCACCCTCTGACTGTGTGCCTTTGCCTAGGCCTAACATGTGCACCTCCTGAGCCCTCCTTCTATCATCTGTCCTTTATGAGCCTTCAAGCCTCATAGTATGTGCTGTCTTCTGCAGGAAAATCCCCTAAGTTTTGTATATGTGTATGTACGTATACATATATATATGTATAGTGTGTGTGTGTATGTGTGTGTGTGTGTTCTGTAATGGCAGGGTCTGTTTTTCATTTTGTGTTTGTATCCCTGGCACAGCTTAACACAGGCATGCTGGTCTGAGGAGAGTCTTACAGACTCGTACCATGGCCCCAAAGGAGAATTCTAAGAAAGCTGGGGCCTTTTTAAAGCTCAGGCCACTGGAAAAGAATTTGACCTTGCCCATATGACACTACATACAAATACAAATCACAAATGAGAAGGACCATCAGGAGCAATCCTTCCTGAAGCTCGAGGGAGCACACCCTTCCTCAGATCCTCTTCTGATGCCTCATCATGACACAGAGGTGACAGTGGGTCACACAGGCTAAGCCAGCGAAGTACAAGCTTGGGCAGCTCCTCCACCAAGCTGGAAAGGCTTTGATTGCGAGTCTAGCAAAGGCCTGTAGGTCTGCTGTCTATGGACCAGCCGAGCTTAATTTGGATGGCTCCAAGGGATGAGTTGTGGCCACAGGAATTCTCAAAAGACCAACACTGTAGATGGGATACAATCTGCATCACTGGAACAGGGTTACGATGCCAACAAAATACTATATCCCTCAAGTTTTTAAGGAGAACTCAACTGGAATTAAAAGAACTTAAAATCTGGACGATAAAGTTCTGGTAACAATCCAGGAATAGATATCTTCTAATTGCCTAATTGCCTAATTTTCAGTCGTGTCTGACTCTACATGACCCCATTTGGGGTTTTCTTGGCAAAGATACTAGAGTGGTTTGTCATTTCCTTCTCCAGCTCCTTTTACAGATTGAGGAACTGAAGCAAATAGGGTCAGGTGACCTACCCAGGGTTACAGATTTTAGCAAATGTCTGAGGTGGTGGTTTGATCTCAAACTTGCTTTGTTTTGTTGTTAGTCAGGTCCAACTCTTCATTACCCCACCTGGGGTTGTCTTGGCAGAGATACTGCCATTTTCTTCTTCAGCTCATTTGACATATGAGGAAAGTGAGGCAAACAGGGTGAAGTGACTTGCCCAGAGTCACACCTCTAGGAAGTGTCTGAGGCCAGATTTGAACTCAGGAAGATGAGTCTGACTCCAGGCCCAGAGTTTGATCCGCTGTGCCACCTAGCTGCTTTTCCAATTGCCTACTATTTCTTCCATAATTTTCAAGATGTCGTCTTCTTTGAGGTTTACCAGTGTTTTGACTGCATATTTTTTAATCACATGATCACTTCCTTAATGCTTTCTTATTCTATTTTGTTATATGTCTTTTCATAAAAGTAATTTTTCCTCTGAGAACTTCCTTTTCCATATCCTCAGAATTTTTGTGTAGTGAATAAATGTTTTCATTCTCTCTTCACAGCTACCAATTCAGATGCTGTGACCCACTCATTATTCAAGGTGTTGTTACGTAGTCTCCATTTAGCATTATATTTTGTTTGTGTTCCCTGCATTAATTGCTCATTTTTGTTTCATGGTCTATCAAGGACATTTAATATTTTTGCCTTTTTGCATTTATGACTCCCTGTACCCTGGCACATGAATGAACAAATAAGCATTTATGAAGCATTTACTATGTGGCAAGCACTGTGCTACGTCCAGGAGACACAAACAGAAAGGTGAGCCAGACCCTATTGTCAGAAAGCTCACAGAGACAATAAAAGAAGGTTTGGTTAAAGGTAACTGGGCTTCAGGGTAGAGAGCCATGCTCAGGAGTCCTAGGAGTGCATCGGCAGGCTGGAGAGCAATGCCCTGGGGCCTGGAGGGTACACTGACAACAGAGACAGCAAGGCCAAGTGGTCCTCCATCTTACCAAAAGAATCATACTTGATGACTTCCTGCTCATCCAAGAAGTATGAACAGCCATGTCAATAAAAAGGAGAAAGTAGGGAAGAGAAAAAGCTGAAGAGGCTCACCCACAGCACTTGGGACAGGGTTAGAGACCGCAGGTCCCAGAGTGGAGCAGGGGCTCTGGATTCTCTGCCAAGGAGCTAAAGGGAGGGGATTTAACCTCCAGCCAAGGGGGGATGGGGACATTGGCTTGGCAGGAAGGCTGAGGAAAGGGCTCACCAAGGTTCCTGCTGGGTCTTCCGGCTCTCAGTGAGGTCTGGCCAGCAGGTGGGCTAGGGTGATATGACTTCTTTTTAGTAATAATACTGTAACATGCTAATAAATATGTACATTCCTTAATATTCTTATGCCAAAGACACCTTGAGGCTTACAAATCTAATTTTTTCAGTAGTCTATTCTGCTTTCTTGTTAATCTGGGTTATATTTATCCAACTCTGAAAGAGATAAAATCTATAATTATTGCATTACTAGCCAGATCTTTTTGCATTTTAGTTTTTCCTTTAAGAATCTAGAAACTATGCCATTTGATGCATAAAAATATAATAATGATAGTTTCCTTATCTGCAAAGCCTATAAGCATAATGTCTCAGCTTATCTCTCCTGACTTGTGAATTTTTATTGTCACTATTTCTGAAATGAAAGCAACTTTACATAAAAATACAGGAGGCTTATTCCCTGTCCTCAAATTTCTTTCATTTATCATGAGACAAGACATGTACAAATAATTCTAATATAATTTGGAAATGTTAAAAACATAAGAAATGTATAAAGAAAATACAAGTAGAATTCCAAGGAAGGAAAGACCATATCCGGTGGGAAGATGGAGGGTTAGTCTGGGAAGGCTTACTGGAGGTAAATTTCCCCCAGCAGAAATTCGGGGTGCAGGGAGAGGAGGTGGTACACAAAAGATGCAAATAAACTTCCATGGTGTACCTGAGCAGCCTTGGCAAAGGTCGGCCCATGATAGCGACCGCCAATGCGCAATACATCTTCTGTACAGTAAAAGAACTCTGAGAAGCCATAGAACTCGCTGTTGTTGAAGTCAATTGGGGACTGGTAGATGCCGTTCAAAGAGGCCTGGCTGGCGTTGGCCCGGGAGAGCAGCGGCTGCAGCATCTCCCCACACGTGAGCCAATCTCCTCTTCCTCTGATGTGCAAGACCTGGCTGCTCCTCTCTACCACATCCTCGAGGCCCACAGGCAAGCAAGGATCCAGGAAGGGAGTTTCTGGAGTCAAACCTGTCTGTTGGCCCAGTAACCTGCCACGATAATAGAAGTCATGATAATTCCGGTTCTGTGTTTCTCTGAACGACCTACACCAAGAATCACAATGGATTTAACAAATATATCTAATTATTTTTCTGTGAAGCAGATTGTAGTAACAACAGTAACAGCTCACATTTACTGAGATTATCTCATTTAATCCTCACAACCCTATAAGGCAGGGAAAGCTAATATCATTGTCTCCAGTTTGCAGTTAAAGAAACTAAGGTTTCGTGACTCTTCCAAGGTCACACAGCTAATAAGCAGCAGAGTTCAGTCTCCACCTAAATGGGTCTGCTCAGTGTTCTTTCTACTCTACCAGGCTGCCTGTCTCTCTGTATTCACTATATTTTTAAGACAAGTGACTAAATGAAGCTCAATTCTTCTTAGCTGTTGTTCTGAAATACAGAAAATAGCAAGATAATTCATAATACACACTTCCTTAAGAGTTCAAATATCCTCTCTGTAGAAATCCTGATTCAAAGAAAGCAATACTGAGGGATGCCTATTCCATCTACGGGCACAGATGGTCACTAAAATAGAACGTAGCAAGCCAAATGACAAAGGGTTCATCTACCTTAGGAAGATGCTCTTCTTTCTTCCTAACAGTCAATCAATTCAACAGGCCTTCATTAAAAGGTCTGTTAAGTGCAAGATACTGACTCAGTACTAGAAGAATTACATCTTTGGGCTGCCCAGGATCCAGTTCAAAGTTCAAACCCCAACACAGCATTACCTATTTTTGGTAAAGGTTTCATTCAGCACCATATCTTCATAGCGTTGTCGGGCAAAGTTGCCCCCATAACCCAGAAAGGTGGTGACATAGACCCTGTAAACATGCTCTGTATGCTGTACATCACAGCCCAGATTAAATTCGGCTAGCAGGACTTTGGCAGCTTCTTCCTGTAATTCAGTGGGAAAGGAAATAGCTAAATCGGATCACTGATTAATTTCTAGGCAAGGACAACATGGGCCAAAATGCCTGGTTTCGAGAGCTACGAATACACTTTAAACCCTGGCATCTCTTTCATTCAAATATTATTTTTATTATAGAGACTACTCACCACAAGGCCTTTATGATAAGCCCTTCTTAAAGCCTCTTTTAGGGGATTCCTTTGTGATCCCAAATCAAGAGCAGAACTGGAGTTGGATTAAGCTCTGTTTTATTGCACCAGAACTAAAGTTAAACGATGTGCAGTATACTTTCCATACCACAGCTGCACAAATTGACAAGTCGTGTGGCCCTCGAGGTGCCCTTCAGCCTTCTGTTGCCATCTTATTATCTATCTCAAACTGTTGGGAACAGAGTCATACCCTTGCTTGTGGAACACAGGATAACAACATTTCCCCATCTTTATTTTCTAGTATCTTACACGAATCAGTACTATTTGCTTTTCTTGTCAATGTGCCCAATGCCTCCCCTCAAAATAAACTCTAATAACTCAAGGGAGGTGAGAGGGTGTGATAATCATAACAGCATTAGTGGTTTAAGGTTTACAAAGCACTTTACAAATATTATCTTATTTGGTCTTCACAATACCTTGGGAGTAAGGGGCTATTATTATCTCCATCTTATAGATAAGGAAATTGAGGCAAACAGGTTAAGAGACTTGCCCAGAGTCACATAGCTTGTTAGTTGTCTGAAACAGAATTTGAACCTGGATCTTCCTGACCCTAAGTCTAGCACTTTATCCACTGTGCTATCCAGCTACTTCAATCTGAATAAATCACCCAAACAATGGGACACATGGAAACCTGAATTTCCCCCCATGTGGGACATATGTACCTGTTTTGGAGGAAGGAAAGTAGGAGAGGTAGGAACCTCATAAGCAATTTGGAGAGAGGCTCCTCCCATATCTAGTATCCCTACTGTCCTCCTACGTCCAGCCACTGATTCTTGCGGACCCAGGGTTTCTGTATCTGAAAGAAAAAAAGCTACTTAGAAGTCCTTAGAAGAGGAAAAAAATAGCCAACATACTAATGTAATCAATGTAAAAATAAAACAAGAACCAGGAAGCAAACCCCAGAAAGAAGGAAAGAATATGCTCTGAGTGGGCCAGACAGATTCCAGCGGAGATTCAATAATTATCAAGAGAGCCTCACTCCCCCAACCACAGTCACCACTTAAAGCCTCCCAGGCCATTTCTCATAGGCTCACACTAAATGAAACACAATAAAACACTTACCATCTTCATGGTCAAATCTTCCCAAAACAAAGTTGATCCCAATCCATGCATAAACACCTGAGTAAGAAACAAAAACCATTCACTTGAGTCTCTCCACCTTACACCCGACATCTGTCTCCCCGAAGCCTCCACCAAAACATTCTCTATTGACAACCTGCTATAAGCTACCTTTTCTTTCTGGAAAAGAAATGTGGCATTTCTCTGTGTATACAATCAGATGTCAATATCTTACAGATTTCATGAGAAAAGATGAGAAACTTTGACACCATGCCAATGGGTAACCATGGGACATAAGCCCCAGGAAATCTACTCCTCTTTCATAACAAATAGAAAAACAATCTGATGTAAACATTAGCCTATAAATTTAACTCCAAAGGTAACAGACCCATCATAGTGAGGGTTGACATGGAGAAACTAACACTGTATGCCTGGAGCTATAAGGAACAGGAATCTTTAACCTGGGATTCTCCCTCCAAAAGAACTCATGAAGAGATTTCAGGGGATCTATGAACTTGGATGGGGGAAAAATTACATTTTTATTTTCACTAATCTTTAACATTTCCTTTAATTTAAAAGAAAATTATTCTGAGTGGGAGTCCACAGGGTTTCACCAGCCTGCTAAAGGGGCCTATGACAAAAAAAAAAAAAGGCTCAGAACTCCTGGTGAAGGGAAAGATATCAAAAGAAAAAAGGCCAACCATGTCAAAACAAGTTAAGAGAACAGAATCAGACTAAAGCACAGCAAATAAGTACTTTCCGCGTTCTGACATTTTCTCCTACTTTGATTCAGTTGTCCACTTTGCCAGTTGATTTGGAAATCAATTAAAGTTTCTGAAGCCACATGCTGATTCCAAAATTACCATTAGCTATGAGAAACCCCACTAGAAATAATCATCTTTAAATACTAAGTACCCTCAAGCATATGGGTTTTAAATAATAGACTAAAACCAGGCAAAATTCTTGCCCTACAGGAACTATATCTGAAATAAAATGTCAACACAGATTAATATAATCATGCACAGCATGATATATAACAGAATCAAGAAAAAGTATGCACATATAGAAAGATAAAAATTATTTATGAAATGGTCTTGAACATAATTCAGATGCTGTAAAATATTTGACTTTTATTAAGACAATACATCCATTTAAGTGAAAAATCAAATATATATATCAAGTTCTAGTACCTTCTTGCTTTCCAGAGATTACTTCGGCTTGAGAATGTGAAAAGAGGAAGTCAAACTCCAAGGGCAAATCTTTCACCAGATCAGCCAGTATAGCTAACTGCTTGCTACAGGAAAGACAAGATCCAAAAACTGAACATTAAGTAGCTTCTCTTGTGTCTTAATTACCTAGTCCAGTTATTTCAATTTAACCTTTTATGTTCTCACAATGTTTACTTTCTTTATCTACCTCTTAATTCCTGAAAAAATGTACCTCTAGGTTAAAATACTCTTCCAACATAGCTTACCAATCTTGTACTAACAGGGGATACAGTCAGGGATTAAGTACAACCACGGCTCTGTGCCACACACAGAGTCAGTCTGAATTAGCTGCAGGAAAACAACGGCTCAATTCTCTGACCTATAAAATAATTATACCTGTTACATCTTCAAAGAAAGCAGTGAAGTCAACACATGGCAGTATTAAATTCACTTTCAGTGCCTCGTGCAATAAACAAGGCACCATGTCACCAAGTCAGAATCACTGCTTAGTTTCATGAGATTATATCATCTCTTATGTATAATCTAAAAGTCAACCTTTTTAGACAAAAACATCAACCAATGAGATCCTTCTCATTTTAATAATGTCTAGCAGGATCAAAATTCAAAGGTCACTATAACTCTGGTTTCAATGTTTTTTCTTCTAAAATCTTAAGCGATATTTATCAGATAAAGACAACACCAACATTGGCATATAAAACAAAAAACAATAGTAAAAGCAGAAGTACTGTCAAAGTTAAATGCTCTAACGTGGGGGGAGAAGTTGAAGAAAACCTGAACACTGAACATGAGGCCAATACCATCGGGTAGGGGAAAAGAAGGGAGTGGATGGTAAAGAGAATATACGAAGGGAACAGAAGTTTAAATATATATATATATTTACAAAATGTATTTTGGTAAAAAGCTATTATTATACATATCTTAATAATCTAAACATTATTCAACAGCTAATACATAATTATAATCAGACTTCATTTCAAAGTTTATAGTATCTTTGTTATTTAAGAGTTCTGTAAAGATAGAAATAGATTTACAAATATTTATTAGGCTCAAGATGGTGTAGCTATCAAAATTTCATTACTTCTTAAATATTTTGTTAACTGTTAAAAAAGAAAAAAAGAGGGAGGAAAATGTGGCCAATAACTAAACAAAGCCAATTTAGGTTTTTCTAGATTTCAAATGACTTTCAGAAATGCATTATTGGCTCAGGATACCATCATCACCCTGAGTTTCAGTTAAGAATAGCACTTAAAACTTAAACCTACATTAGAAGTCACAGGGTACAGTAGAAGCCAGGAGCTCCTAGGGCCAAGCCCTACCTCTGACACACGCTGGCTGTTTAACCTCCTAGTGTTTTGGGCACTAATTCTCTAAGACTGGAACTGTCAGAGAGAATCTCCTCATCCTGGAGCTCCCTATACTAACGCAATCATAGGTCCAGTTCCTGTCCCTAACAACATCAAATACAATGTACCATAAATTTCCGTGTTAAATATTATAAACAGAAGAACGATACCAGGAGGCCATTAAGGCTAGCTATTCTCCACTTAACTAGACTGCTACATGGTGCCATAGTGCAGAGAGCGCCACGCCTGGAGTCAGGAAGACTCATCCTCTTCCTGAGTTCAAATCTGACCCTGGGCAAGTCACTTAACCCTGTTTGCCAAAGTTTCTTCATCTGTAAAATAAGTGAGAGAAGAAAATGGCAAACCTCCCCAGTATCTTTGCCCAAAAAACCCCAAATGGGGTCATGAAGAATGGGACACAAATGAAAAACAACTGAACAATGCAGAGAATTTGGGAAATAAAGCCATATAACTATGTTATCTTATGACTGGAAGAGGCCTCAGAGGTCAGTCACAGACTTATGAGCTCTAGGTGAATTAAGGTCCAACACCTTAATCTGACATACAAGACAACTAAAGTCCCAAGAGGATCAGTTACCCATGGCAGCACAGAGTCAGCAAGCAGTGGAGCAAGGATTCAAATCCAGGTCTTGGAACTTCCAATCCAGTGCTCTTCCCACTGCACCACATGCATCATGTTCCATCATCTCCCCCTACTGGATAAACTCTGTGAGGCTGCTGACCAGTTTGATCTATCTTCATATCTTATCTAATACCCAGCATGGTGACATGGCCTCAGGTACTATGAACTCCAGATTTCCTCTTAAGGTACTACAAATATGCAAACCTTATACAGGGAGGCTGCTGACATATTGAGAGGGAAGTTACAAACAGGGCAAGAAAAGGGCTCTTCCTTTACAAGGCCTTAGTTAACCAACATTTATATTCAGTGTTTCTACTTTAATGCAAAAGAAATCACCATTCAAAATATGATCTATGAATTTAACATTATTGTTCTATACAAAATGAATGAGAGATTCAAGGAAACATGGAAAAATACATATTAACTTGTGCTGAGCTACATAAGCAGAATCCAAAGAAAAAACCGAAATGATTGCAACTATGTAAGTGAAAATGTCACTAAAACACCAAAAATGAAAAAACCCTCCATCTCAGCAGAGGCAGTAGACTAAACAGGTAGAATGTTGCATATATTGTCAGATGAAGTCACTGTATATCAAGGGGTGAAGGGATTGTCTCAGAAATCACTGTGATATAAGAACAAAAGGCATCAGTAAAACTTATTTGTAAGAAATGAAATTTCTTGCTCATAAAAAGGAATGAGATGGAGCAGAGATTTCACGAGGACAGGCTGATGAGCAGCAAATGACATGGCCCTTCTCCTCCTCACCTTTGTTCTAGTCACCTAAGACGTGGCAGTGGCCGTAACATGGGCCAAAGTCTCCAGACTCAGCACAGTCCACCTGGCATGTTCTCTGACCTCACCAGGCTTCTCTATCAACAACCTTCCTTCCCAGGCTACACAATCTTGGGCTGTTCACAGATTTTGTGATAAGGAGCCACAGGTCTCACTCTTGTCAGGATTCTAGATCTCTGCAGGCTACAATGACTTCCTTTTAGGCCTGCTGAAGCCAACACCTGTTACTGCATTATGAATATCCGAAACATCCCTCATTATGCCTTGCTTCCCTCAGCAGCAATTTTAAAATCTCTTAAGCTTTCAAAGACATCCTTCAATCACCTTCAAGAGATGTTCTCGCCTCCTACTTAACCAAGAAAATGGAGGCCAGTCATGAGCTGCCTTCCCCCAGCTCCACAGCTTAAAATTCCCTCTACGTCTTCACTCATATTCTCTTCCTTTATCTAGTCACAGAGGAAAAGGGGGCCCTTTTGGTCCAAGCCAAACCCTTTTCTTGTGCCCTCAATTCCATCTCCTCCCACCTGATCTCGAAGTGGTCCCTTCGATCATTCTCTCTCATCTTCAACTCCCTATCAGACGGGTATCTTCCTCATTTGCCCACAAATATGCTCCGATCTACATCTTAAAAACAACAACAACAACAAAAAACACCACCTTGCTTTGACCCTGCTGCCCACATTCCTTTTACTGCTAAGCTCTTACAAAGGATCATCTCCACTTAGTTTCTACTTTGAGACCACCAAGTTACTTCTGAGTCCCTTGAAATCTGACTTTGAACCCTAACACTATTGAAATGGCTTTCTCCAGGGCCATCAATGATCTCGTAATGGCTAACTCTGATGAGCTTCATTCTAGTTGTCCCTCAGAAGCTTCTTCCTTGGTTTCTATGGATCACTAATTAGCTAATTCTCTAACACACACTTTTCCCCGCCCCGGGTTTCCTACCTGTTCAATTGTTCCTTCCCCACACAGGACTTACAAAGCAATGGAAAAAGTGCTGCATTCAGAGTCAGGGGTACTAGGCTTAGTCCCTACTTCTGCCATTTACTAAATCAGGGACCACAGGCAAGTCACTAAAAGCTCTTGGAGACTCCATTTCTTTACTTGTCAATGAGGACTAGCTGCTCTCTACAGCCCCTTCCAGCCCTAGATCTGTGCCCACCTCTCCCTATCTAGATCACCATTCATGCCCTCGGCGGATGAGGTCAGATGTGGTGGAGATGGAATCAACAAGAATGGATATTGAATGGATACCAAAAGGAAAGTGAGTCCCAGAGAGGTTAAGCAGGCTAGAACTAAGATCTCAACCTCCATCCTCTCCTCCACATTCAGTGGTCTTTCTACCCATTTTCTGACATTCCAATTAAAAGAGGCAGCTGTGCATCCTCTCTACATTTGGTTAGGTGTGATTATTTAATTTAAAAAGTGTCAGGGAATAGTCAGGAATGACATTATGACTTATTCAGGTGAACAACAGAATTTACAATCAATACTGACCCCACATTTTCACACTGGGTACAATTCATTTCAACAGTCAAGCTGACATAGCTAGAACACATCTACAAAATCATGCAGATAGATTATGCATCTTAGAATGTCACGTTCTTAATTAGCAGCAAACCCCTGAACTCTGACAAAAATGAGTAATGATAATAATAGGTAACATTTAAATGGTCCTTTAAAGGTTCACAAATTATTGCAATCTCATTTGCCCTTCCCATAAAAAGGTCAAATAGATCTTGAACTCTCTTCTCCTTCATCCCGTCATAACCAATCAATAGCTTTAAAGTCCTTTTGATTTGCTCTCAGGTGATACTGATCTCATTTCTCCCAGATCTACTCATTCTGCCATCACCCTCATATATCACCTTGCTCGCCTCTCAACTGGCTACTGGAAGAGAGTGCCAACTGGTCTCCAGTCCACAGACAGTCTCTCCCCTTTTCAAATCCATCCTTTATAGCAGTAGAGTCAAATACAAATAGAAATAGATCTCTGTGGGGGCATGACGATTTAAAAAACCACAAACTATGTTGTATTATATTTTTACTTATTTTGTTAAACATTTCCCAATTACATTTGAGTCTAGCTCCAGCAGATGAAAAACTTGGGAGTTTAGAAGGTCCCTGTTGCCAGTCAGTTTGATACCTCTGCTTTACCAAGATGATAAAATTATCTCACATTCTCATGTCACTTCCCTGACTCTCTATTGCCACTGAACGTACAATAAAATACAAATTCCTCAGCCTGGCATTTAGTATTTCTCCTCCACAACAATACAACCTACCCTTCCAGGCTAATTCCTCTCCACTGTCCTATAATAATAGCTAACATTTATATACCACTTAACTATGTACCAGGAGCTGTGTTAAGCACTTTACAAGTATTATCTCATGGTCCTCACAACAACCCTGGAAAGTAGCTGCTATTATTACCCCCATTTTACAGATAAGGAAACTGAGACAGACAAATGTTAAGTGATTTGGAAAGAGGTCAAACAGCTACTAAGTGTCTAAAGCCAGATTTGAACTTGGGTCTTCTTGACTCCAGGCCCAGCACTCTATCCACTGTACCACTGAGCTGCCAAAGGAGAAGACTAGCTTTTCTGTGATCTCATCCTACACATTCACTTGGGCCACCCCCCACATCCTCATTCCCTTTTCATCTTCATCTGCTGAAATTTTTCTTCCTTCAAGGCCCCCCTCAGGTGTCATCTCCTCCAGGACAGCCTTTCCAGACTCTCTAAGCCTACGCCACCCCCACCGCTGAAAGTGATCTCCTGACATTTTTCTACAGCATTTTGGATTTCTCCTTTACCCAGCAGAATCATGCGTAAATGGTGCCCTAATCTGCCTCTCGACAGCAAGGGCTGTCCTTTTTTCCCTCGTTTCTTAGCTGCAGCAGCCAGCGCAGCTCCTTGCAGTTGGGAAGGGCTTAAGACACATTTGTTGCACTGTATTTTTTTAATGTTTCCTTTGGCAAAAAGAAGGATTTAATAAGGGGGAAATATCAAAAATGTAAAAAAACAAGGCATTAAGAAACCGTCTTAAAAAGAAAGATGTTTAGGGGTCAGAGCCAAGATGGCAAAGTAAAAGCAGTGACTCACTTGAGCTCTCCCCCAAACCTCTCCAAATACCTAAAAAAAAATGGCTCTGAAGCAGCAGAACCCACAAAAAGACAGAGTGAAACAAATTTCCAGCCCAAGACAGCCTGGATGGTTGATCAGAAAGGTATATCATGTCAGGCGGGAAGGGGACCACAGTGCAGCATGAGCGCGCAAGCTGCAGCGAACCTGGAGCAGGCCTCAGAGGACTGAATCATGGGCAGCTGCGGTGGTTTCCAGACTTCTCAACCCATGAACACCAAAGACAACTTAGAAGGTCAGTGGGAAAAGTCTGTTTGTGTGGTGAGAGAGAAGTTAGATCTCAGCCCCAGTTCCCTAGCACGGCTCCAGGGTGGCGACTGCCTCCTGAGCTTCCGGTTCACAGACTGAGGGGGAATCCAGTGGCTGATCAGAGGGAATTGCAGGGATCTCTTTGTCAGTTTCTAAGGCAGGAATCTCTTGCTTTGCCCGCGCTTGGATGGGGGTCACAGTTCTGAGGGGGTGGTCCTGGGGCGAGGAGGAGCCCTGACATGGTGCAGCTTGTAGTGGTGGTACAGAGAAAATCCTCCTCACAATTCCAAGACAGAAAACAGTGCTTGTGGTCACTCATAGACCAGAGAACAAGCCAGGAAAGTAGTAAACACCTCACCCCTTATCATACCACCTTGGAAGAAGTGAAAATTTACAAGATCCCTAGAAGTATCTCTGAAAACAGCTGTACAAACCCCCTGAAGCTTAGGACAGTACATTCTCCACACTGGAAGCAGACCTCTACCTTAATAAAGAGTTTATAACTCAAGTAATTGGTGGGATCATGAGCAAACCTCACAAAAAGTGTCAGACCATAGAATCTTTTTTTGGTAACAAAGATCAAAACATACAACCAGAAGAAGACAACAAAGTCAAAGCTCCTACATCCAGAGCCTCCAAGAAAAATATGAATCAGTCCCAGGCCTTGGAAGAGCTCAAGAAGGATTTTGAGAAGCAAGTAAGGGAAGTAAAGGAAAAACTGGGAAGATAAAAAGATGTTTTTAAAAAAAAGGAGAGAGAATATCTGGAGGTTACCTAAAAAAAACAGAGAATAAAACAAAAAACACCTGGCAGTTTATTTGTATTTAGCAAACACAGGCGGCCCTGGCATTTGTAGGAAACAGGTTCTCGAGGTTTCTTCAATGGATCAAAAATGGAGAGGAAAATGAGAGAGAATGGGAATGGCTATGGCTCTGATCAGCTGAGCTGGAAAAGACTGGACTAGCTCAGATGTCGAGAAGACTGGGTCCAACCACGGTGAACTGAGGTTTGCTCTTTAAAAAGCTGCAAGACCATAGAACCCCTAAGTGAATGAATCAAGGCAGTCTCAAAATTAGTCAGCAGGGGGAACAATATTCTAGTATCAAATCAGTCACCTTCACAGTCCTAAATAAAATAGGAAAGTTCCTCGCCCTGCCCAAAGACCCCAACTGGCATGCCCCCTCACTGCTCTTCTCTTTACTGTTATCTTTTAGGCCCAAACAGTTACAGGCCATCCCTTCTCCAAGTGCTCCAAGCTCCAAAATGAGCCCTTCTTTTTCCTGCACACCAACCCAAATTCCCAATCACTGACCATTCCTGCTCTGTCTCCTTTAACTGCAGGTGTCCCTGAGGGTTCTGTCCTGGGTCCTCTTCTCTTCTCTCTCCATACTACTTCACTTAAGAGATCTCATCAGCTCCCAGATATTACCATATCGATGCTGATGATTCTCAGATCTGCCTTTCCTGCCCCAATCTCTCTGCTGACTTCCAATCTCACATCTCCAACTGCCTTTAGATATCCTGAACAGGATGTCCAATAGATATCTTAAACTCAACATGTTCAAAACAGAACTAATTATCTTTCCCCCTCAAGTCTTCCCCACTTCCTCACTTCCCTACTTCTGCAGAGGGCAACACCATTCTCCCAGTCCCTCAGGCTCCCAATCTAGGAGTCCATCCTAGATTCCTCAGGCCCTCTCATCCCCACATCCAAGCTGTTGCCAAGGCCTGCTGATGTCACCTTTGCAACAGCTCTTGAATTCACTGCCTTCTTTCTGACGTTGCCTTCACCCTGGTGCAGGCCCTCATCACCTCATGCTTGATTATTGCAACAGCCTTCTGCTGGGTCTGCCTGCTTCCCATCTCTTCCCACTCCAATCCATTCTCATTCAGCCACTGAAGTGACTTTCCTAAAAAGCGAGTCCAGTCATGTCACCCCAGCTACTCCACAGACTCCTGTGGCTCCTCATCACTTCCAGGATCAGATACGAAGTGATCTGCATAACATTCAAAGCCCTTCATAAGCTAGCCCCCTCCTACCTTTCCTTAACATGTACTCTTTGACCTGGTGACACTGGCCTTCCGGCTGATCCATGAAGAAGACACTCCATTCTCCTGGCTCCTGGAGTTTTCTCTGGCTGTCCCCTATCCCTGCAATATCCTCTCTCATTTCTGCCTGCTGTCTTCCTGGCTTCCTTTAACTAACTAAATATAACTGAATCCCATCTGTTACAGGAGGTTTTTATCAACTCTTCTTAATTCTAGTGCCTTCCCTCTGCTGATTATTTCCTATTTATCTTGGATATAGTTTGCTTCATATATATTTGTTTGCATGTTGTCTTCCCCATTAGATTGTGAGCTCCTAGAGGGCAGGACTGTCTTTTGCCCCTTTAAAGCACAGTGCCAGACCTCAAGGCACTTATCACATTTTATTATCTGACATACTAAGGTATGAATGATCAATAAGCCTACCCAGAGAGTATCTGCATCACAAAAGGAGAGCAGAGAATCCAAAGGAATCTCCAATTAGTGAGATATGAAAGGTTGTGTTTAAGCCAAAAGGCCTTCCAGGCCTACTCCAGACAATCAAGACCGATTTCCTCCTCCACACCCAGGCTAAAGGACTCAAATACGCAGCATCCACATTTTATTTAAATTTGCTCTCCCTCTCACCTCTCTGGAAGAAGTCTCATGCCCGCTGTGCACAGGATATAGAGAGGTGTCTCCTTGTGTTTCTTCACAGGCACATGAGCAGCAGCAAAACTCAGTAGAGGGCGAAGGTAATCGCTGGCATGTTCTGGAGTTTCTGCCATTGCAGAAATCCCTAAACAAAAATGAAAATAATTTGTAAAGGTTCAACATAGTTTAAAAAACACCACCACCACCTCAGTCCCAAAGGATTCAATTGCCAGGATCCTTCAAACTTCCCTGTGTCTACAAAGGGTATCACCGACCCCCAACTACTCTACTTTTAGCCTTGGGATCATCTTCCACTGTCTCCCCTCTCCAATTATCTGCAAGTCTCGTCAATTCTTCCTTTGTAGCACCTCTGCTATCTCTTTCTCTCCACTTCTTTTCACCCTGATTTTTAAGTCCTCATCACTTTTCACCTAGACTAGTATCATCAGTCTCCTAACTGGTCTCTCTGCTTCCAATCTCTCCTCCACCCATGCTGATGGCCACACAGCTGCCAACGTATTTCCCAAGCAGACATCTGAAGCATTCAGTGGTTCCCTGTGGCCTTCGGGATAAAATGCAAACTCCTTATCCTAGAGTTTAAGGCTCTCACAAATGGCTCCTATCATGTGTAAAATGGATAATTTAGATTATTTTAAATTAAAAATTTCTTCTATAAATAAAACCAATGTAGCCAAGACTAGAAAAGTAGAAAAATGGGAAAAAAAACTTTCATGGACAATCTCTCAGATAGATATGGTTGTGATGGAATACTGCTGTGATATAAGAAATGATGAGTTGGTTGATTTAGAAAAACTTGGAAAGACTTGGACCTATGAAGGAAGATGCTATCCCCCCTCCACAGAAAGAACTGACAAATAGAACTATCATACTATGCATGTATGACTATGTACATATATGTTTATAGATATATAGGTATATGTGTATATATTCTAGTTTAATTGCAGCTTTCTTGGGGGGTAAAAGGCTAGGGAGAGAAAAATAAAATAAAATAAAACATACACAGCGGAGAACAAAAGAAAACCTAGAAGGAAGCAGAGAAAAACTGGGCTGCTTTGAAAACAACATGTAGGATTTATTACATAGGTTTTTGTGAAATGGAAAGTTATTGTTTTGTCAACTGAATCCTCTCTTCTGTTCTGCCGTGTACATGGAAATGTTTTTTTTCTTTTCTTGTTTTGTTTTTAAGTTTAAAATGAATAAATGTTTAAAATGGCTCCTACCTACCTTCCTAGTTCCCATCTCACAATGATTCCTTTCATACACTCTATCAGCCATGCTAAAACACTAGTTGTTCTCCAAACTCAACTTTATATGTCCCACTGTGCATCTGCACAAACCAAGCATATGCCTGGAATATTCTCCCTCATTGTCTCAAAATCATCATCACCATCCTTCAAAGATCAGCTCAGGTACCACATCTCATCCTTGAAGCCTCTCAGCTATTAATATTCTGACTCTCATCAGATTACATTGTATTTAAATCTTTAGATACATGTCTCTAGATACATTCCCTAGTGGAATGTAAGCTCCTTGAAGGCAGGGATATGTATCACAAAGATATGTAGTGCTCTGTAAGCAGTAGGTGCTTAATAAAAGTCTGCTGAATTGAATTGATTTGAAATATGAATTTATGAGGACCCAGAACAAGAAACCCACTTCCTACCTCCCCCATAAAGCAGCTATGAGGAGAAAAGATGGGTTCCTTTCCTTTGTTTCCCCTACCTAGTCCTACTTAATGTGGACATTTATCACCATAACAAGAAAACAGCCCAATTAGTACCTGGTTTGATTTTTTTAACCACTGGTTGGCTATTGCGATCTCTCATCTGTTTGATATCCAGCAAATCATGTGGATTCCCATTATGACGTGGCCAAAAATAAACAAAAATCCTGGAGCCACTGCTGCCACAGTCTACCACAAGGCCATAATTCAGAGTTAGGTCTTCAGTATCTGTGGCCTCCAGTTCTCCTACTCGAGCTAAATACCTGAGAAAAGGGAAAGAGGGAGCTAGAGTTAAGCAGCCATGGAAAGCAGGGGCTCCTGGAACAGATTTCGATACTGATGACTGTACTGACAGACATGAACACAGTCAGAATGGTTTACCAAGTATGCTCCTCCAGAGGCGTTTACCAAAGTAATTCCCACTGCCTTTAAGAGTATTATTGTTCACTGACCTCTATAAATTGATACAAAGTGAGAAGAACTCCTTTATACAATGACAGCATTAAAAAAAAAAACAACTTTGAAAGACTTGATTTCATAGATCAGTGCAATGACAAATCATGATTCCAGAGGACCAAAGATGAAGCATGTTACCTGCCTCCCGACAAAGAGGTAAAAGATTTAAAATGCTGAATGAGACCTATCTTTTTGGACATGGTCAATGTGAGAATTTGTTCTGCTTGACCATGTATATTTGTTTGAGTGTTCTATTTTTCTTTTTTTTTTAATTCAATGGGGGAAAGATGGAAGAGAAAATAAACACTTGTTAATTTTAAAAATGCGATCAACTTTTTTAAAAGGAGAATTGCTCATTTGCACATTTTTGTGAAGCACCAAAGCTGACTGTTGCAGCAATCCTTCTCACCTTACACAGAGTACACAGCAGCCCCCAGTTAACATCATGCTTAGATTGGAATTATCTGACACTCTTAGAGGAAATGTTTCCAGAGATGTGGGTAAGGTATATCCTGAGAAATATGAGCTAGAGCTAGATGGTGACATTCATGTGATCTGGCAGAATTAAGAAAACAAAGCTTTCCTCTGAAAGCACCATTCTGAACAATAAGGTGAAGCTGAGAGTTCAAGAAACCTATGACAAAGCATCTGTAAACTGTAAAATCCTCACTCTGAGGTAATACCATCACCGAAGCTGTTGCTTCAGTTAATACTTCAGTTTTCTCAGAATCCGAGTCAAAAACTATAACTATTGCTGATTCTTATTCAAAGGTTTCGTTATCACAATCTGAGAGCTCTCACCAAGTAGCTCATATGTTGACAGAGTTGGCTCAGTTGAAAGATAAAGAGTTTTTCACATTAATGTTATCTGCCTCCTCTCTACTAAATGTAGACGGATAGTTGTCTGGAAAAGCCTAGCATTTCTAAAATCAAGTCTAAAAGACAAGTAACGTATTAATCCTTTTGCAAACCTCTGGGTAGACATCAAAAGTGACAACAAAGTGGAATTAGGATGATTTCCTTAACTGCTCATTGTTACTAAGCTATGAGCTAGTATTATGGGTAATATGTAGGATGAAATTATTGTTCCAACTCTACCATGGCCTTTTTTTTTCTGGCTTTAAACAAGTTGCTAGGTATCACGGAACAATGGCTAAAACACCTGCCTTTTTCCTACTTGGATAATGGTGTTTCCCATAAAGCCCTGGGAAGACATACTATATAAGTAAACAAAATTAAGCCTACATAGACTTTTTATCAAAAGACTCATATCCCAGAATCATTTACCATCATCTTCAATGAATGTTGAAATAGCAATCACAATAATATTGAAGCATTTTACTCCTAAATATCCACCATCTTCCTAACTTCCCTATTTCTGCTGAGGCCAACACTACCCTTCTAGTCACCCAAGTTTGCAACCTCAGAATCATACCTGCATCCTCTTTTTTCGCTTTTTTTTTTGTGACCTTAATCATTAATGAATACAAACATTTCAATATATAAAGAACAAGATGAGGACAGTATAAGAAATTGTGACCTCCTGTTACTGTAACACAGAAATGGAAACAAAATAAGTACCAACCAATGGGGTAACGGCTTGCTGTGGGCCAGGATACTAACAGAACTGGGGAGGCCACCCCAACACTCCCACAATACCAACTGATGCCACTGGAAGCAAATGGTACAGGTGGAGTTAACTTTGATCCCAGGCATCGGCTTCTGGGATCCAGCAGTGGGCCCTGTGAGCCAGAAAAGGACAAAAGCACTTCAAGGGCTTTGGCAGACAGCTCCTGAGATCCTGGGGGCCTCCCTGATGATAGCTTTTATTTGCTTTTAACTTCCTAAATTGCATTTATCCAGGGATAGTGGGATATGTTTCTAGGAAAAGGACCGTTTACTTGAACCCCTGGGCTCTGAGTGATTCGTTGAACCAGATGAGGAATGCCTGAACAAATTGTGGTACAAGAATATGATTAAATACTGGCACAAACGATCACAAATGCCAGACATCTGTGACTCCTCCCATGTTCTCACATCTCACATCCAATCAGCTGCCAAAGGCTTGTCAATTCGGCCTTTATGATATCTCTTGGTGGCAGTTCCATTGTACAATACAAACCTATTTGCTTTTAAAGACCTTCACAAATTAGCCTACCTACCTTTCCAAATATATTACACATTATTTCCCTTGACACATCCTATGTTCCAGCCAACCTGGCTCACTTGCTGTATTGGTACAAAACTCCACAGTCCATCTCCACCTCCGGGCCTCTCTCTGCACAGAGCTCCTGCCTGTGGAACGCATTCAGTCCTCCCCTGCACTCCCAGATTCCCCAGCTCCCTTCAGAACTCAGTTCAAGGGCTACACCAGGCTTCTGATCTCCCACTTCCTAGTCCCTGAATCCCTGAAATTACTTTTACTGACCTTGTATATGCTTTGAGTTTACTTTTATTTGTATATGTTGTTTCCCCAATAGAAAATCAAGATCCTCGACAGAAGACTTTCATTTTTTTGTCTTTGTATGCCCAGCAACTCTCATGTTAACTGACACACAGCAGGTGCTTAATAAGTGTATGATGATTAGCATATCCACAAGCAGCAAATTCTACATGGACTGGCTCTAGATCATACGATCCTATGATGGCAAATGCTGTAACCCTAACATACACTCTTCTTACCCACTCCACCCCCCTCCTCACCTTGCTTTTGTGGGTTTTCTTCCCCATTAGATTATAAGTTCCTTGAGGGCAAGGGCTGTCTTTTCCCTCTTTTTGTATCCTCGTGGCTTAGCACAGTGCCTGGCATAGAGTAAACACTTAATATGTGTTTAGTGACTGACTGACCTAGAGTTTAGAATAATCTAGCCCGAGCCTCTTGTTTTGTTTCAGATAACTCAAGTCTCAGACAGCAGAGCTCATCATCACAGTCAGGAAAGCATACTTTCTTCCCCAAGTGACGTTAACTAAAAACAAAATATATATTATATGTGTGTGTATATGTACACACACATATACACATATATATATAAAATCCTGAAATCAAAATGGCCAAGCAGAAACAAAAATGAAAAGATCTTTCCTATTCTACTACAAAAACCACATTTTTTAAGAAGACTTACAGGCATGTTCTAAGTAAATTAGAATACATTAAAGAAAAAAGAGGAAAAAAGACAGAGGAAATTATTTTATAGTTATCCACTAATCTGAAAAAAGGTTCGTGGGAATGAGGCAGGTGACAAAAATCTGTTGGCACTGAAAAATCCTATGTTCTTCCTGGCCCTCAGGAGTCCTTTTCAACAGAGATTTTCCAATCCCAGAGCTAAAGCCCCACCAATAGGCTCCAGAGAGCTCACAGCTGGGACAAAGTCTGAAGACTTTGGGACCGAGTCACAGAAGTTTTGCACTCACTTCACTGCCATTAAGGAACCACCCAATAAAAAGAAAAGGAGGGTTTCTGTCCCCAGTACCAAAGTGGTCAGTCCCTATCAAAGCTCCCATTTTAAGTCTTCTACCACTCAACAGTGATCCTCAGGAGTCATTACTTTCCCAGATCTCTCTGAATTCTTCAGGACAATCCCCTGAATTCAGGAACCCACCCCTTTCTCCACAGCCCTGTCACTGCCCCAACTCTTCTGTAACCACACTGTCTCCTCTCTCCTCCACGCTGTGATGAAAGCAGCAAACACACTCCCCAGCCCCTTTCACCTGCACTACAACAACGCCCAAGGAGTTGTTCACCTTTTTTGGGGCGCAGAGGCCCTGGCCACGCTCTGGTGAAGCCTGTGGCCCCCTTCTAAGGACAGCTTTAAATGCATTAGACAAAAACAGAGGGTTACAAAAATAAGCACATTAAATATAGTTGTCAATGTACTTTAGGAAACAAGTTCACCAGCCCCAGATTAAGAAGCCCTGCTCTACACCCTTCATCTCTCCCCCTCTTCAATCTGCCCTGTTTATATGCCAATAAAACCATTTCTTTAAATATCAGATCCCAGTGATCCTTCAAGCAGCCTTCTCTTAGAACCAAAGGATTGAGAACTGGAAAAACCCTTAGGGGCCATTTATTCCAAACTTTTTTTTTTCATATGAGAAAACTGAAGTTCCATATAAAGTTGCCCAAGTTCCACACACATCTTAAAACACTTCACTGGGGTTTGAGAGCTGGTCTTTCAACTTTTTTCATTCTACAACACCTGCCTTCTTTTGCTGGTTTACAGTTCAAAATGCTACCTGGGGTCTTTTTCAGTACTTACCTGCCTCCAACACTAGCTTATAACAAACTCCAGGAGGACCATCCACCCCTTAAATGCACTAACTTTCATATTCTCCCAATTCTTACTTAGTAGGGCATCCTGTTCACAATAGGTACCCTACAGAGAGATGTTCCTGCCTGAGGGATCTGACCATGGGGCCCACTGAAAAGGGTCCTGGTCTGGCTCCCCAAAGTCTCTCTGACTTCTCCGAGGAAAGTTTCCTTAACTTGCCTTATTAGCTTTGGGATGTCTTTGACAGATCCTAGCTACACAAGCAACTGAATGTTCTCATTTGATACCAACCTTGCTTACCAGTTTTTCCCTATTCTTCTAATTGTACTTCAGCCAAAATTCTGAACTATAGCTGGAATGCAAGGAAATAAAACAGAAACTCTTTCACTGACACTCCACAGATTGGCCTCCACTCCTGCTTCACACCCATCATCAGGCCCAACTGTCAAAGTTCTGACTTCCTGCATTACATACAAACAAGCATCCACAGAATACCAAAAAAAAAAAATTTTTTTTTAAAATATATATCTCACCATTGT